TTCACACATAGTGGGTGGCGGGGGGAAATGTTTTGGAGATCAACAGAGAGAATCCTCCTCTGGAGGATCTAACACTTCACCACCTCAGGTCCTGGTGTTGCTCTGATGGTGAACTTCACCGGATGACAATGGATGCTGCGCAAACTACTGGCAGGACTGATGCAGACAGATGCCACTCTGCCAGGCAGCTACATTTGGCAGACAGGTTCACAGTAACTGAGTCCTAGTGAGAGGAAAACCAAGCAAAGCCACGTCTACTTGCGTTTCCACACATTCCCCGTGTGGATTGAACCAGGAAAGGGGAATGAATTGATTTCATTCATTGTTACTGACTGGCTACCAGGATGGTCCCTAAGACCATGAACCTCAAGACCTCGTGTGTGTGTGTGTGTGTGTGTGTGTGTGTGTGTGTGTGTGTGTTGGCTAGGAGGGTGTGCAGGGCAGAGACAACAGCTGCTCTGGTCTCTGCCCTGGTGCCTGAAGGATGGCTGGTGGACACCAGGAGAGGGGCCCCACCCTAGACCTCAGAGGTTCTGCAGAGTATCTCAGATGTTCAATAATTTTAGAAACTTTCAGATACTAAATGTGAGGTAGCTGGGAAAGGACACCATCTAAATTAGATGTGAGCACTGGCTCCAGCCCAGAGCACTGAGGCATGACTCAATGTGAAAGCCTTGTAGTCTGCAGCTGTGTGATTATCCCTGGGCAGATCTACCCCAGACATCTGTATGCCCTGGAGCACATGGGGGAGGTCAGGGATGGGCCTGGAGGGTGCTGGCAGAGTGCAGCTTTCAAGGAAAGTAAGGCTTCTTCCATTGAAGGTTTCTGCAGCTCAAGGTAAAAAACAAACTCCTCAGAAAAATAAAGAGAGCAAAAGGGAAGTCCCTCAATATAGAAATGGCCCCAGAATTTGTTTGGAAAGGAAATGACATTTTTCTCTTTGCAGTAATTATTCTGCCCACGGGAGCTTCTCTGTCAGAACTTGTCATTACTTTTCAGTGATTTCACAGACATTTTGTGTAAACTTCTAGCTATCTGCAGCAGCCTCAGCACTGGTGAGAGGAGGTTCTCCCCACAGTGCTGTGATCCTGCCTCTGTTCAGTGAGACCAACTCTTTAAGGTCACCTGATTTTGTAAACAGTTCCTTCCTGCTGCCAGGCAAGCACCAGATCAGGGGATGTAACAGATGCAAAGAATATGACTCGGTGCTTCCTCCAAGCAGTTCCTGTATTGAAGAAGAGCCATCATATACAAGAATCTTGATGTAAAGCCGACTGTCAGCCTGCCTCATATCAAGGTCAAAGCGGGTCAGCCTTTCTGAAGAGGTCAATGGACAGAAGCAGCCTGAAAAATACGATGAAGATCTTCGGTGGTCCCCACCACAGAAGAGATCACAATCACCTCAACTCCCCACCCTAGCCCTCCCTGAAAGTCAAACTAAAAACAATGCTGAAATAAGTACAAGTGCTTACAGTGGACTGAGTTATGACCAGACTGACATACAAAACAACTTGGGTTATGACTGGAATTTTAGTTTTAACTTACAATCAAAGTCTTGAGTTACAACCTGAATGCCAGTTGCTTGTGCTTCCAGATGGTCTCAGATACAGATTTAATCCTTAAAGAGTTCTGGAAGGAACATTACAGCAACCTTTCCTGTGTGGGGTTGAGAAATCCTGGACCAATATCTCTAAGGACACTGAGATCTGCCTGTGTACAGGAGACTTTAAAGGCTGTGTAGAGGAGCCTGAGCCTTCAATTGACCAACTTGAGCTACAACCAGCCCTCAGGAATGAATTGAGTTTGTAAGTCAAGGGTCCACCATAGTTCAATTTTTTCCTATTACTTTGGTATCTTGGAATGTCATACATAGCTTTCAGTTTTGCAGCTGGCAAAAGGTAATTTGGGATATGTCTTTGCTGATCTTAGGAGTTGAGAGTTTTACGCTGATAAGGTGTGAGGTGACATGATGAAACCAGTGCTTTAGGAAAACTGAGTTAACAATTTGCAGGACAGTTTGGAGGGAGAAATGAATTAGGGAAAGAAGGCTGAAGGCTCTACAGGGCTAAGCATGAGCTGTCAATAACTCCACATGAGACTGGTGGCAGGAAGAATGTGGAACAGGTTGAAAGTACAAATAGTTTTGACAGGATCTGGTGCCTGTCTGGATCTGAAGTCCTTCTGTGTTGGTCAGAGAGGAAAGTAAAATAAGACCCTGAAGGGGAGCTGAGTTTGCTAGGAAGTTGATGTTTGGTTTTTAAATGGGTGAGCTGAGGATAAAGGACCTTCAGGAGATGGCAACTGGATGTGTGGGTGGGCCCAGGAGAGCTTTCAGGCAAGAGGTCTAGATTGTGTGGGGGACAGTGAAAGCCCATGGCTAAGGCTTGCTTGGGGCAGGGAGAGGTGGAGCACAGCTTGAAGCAGACTGAGCACTGACGCTGGCTCATGGTTGTCAAGGGACGGACTAGAAAGGTGAAAGGAAACTGGAACCACTTTGTGTCTGGTGACCAGTGGTGAGATTTTCAAGTCACACTCAGGCCCCACAGAATGCAAAGTGTGGACTGGAGGGAGCCAGGCCAAGAAAGTCTACTTAGAGTTTGTATTTTGGGGGCAACAGCAGTCTGATTTTAGCTGGTGTTGTATTGATGCTGGATGAGCCATAGGCCAAAATTGACTTTAACTACAACTGTTTTCCACCAACAGTGAATATATTATGAACTAGTGCATTTATGAGACTTAAATGTATTTTATATCCCTCAGTACCTACAATGCAGTGGGAAACTGCACTACATAGGTCAGTGGAGGGGAGCTCAATTAGAAAGTGTGGACTCCAGTTATGATTTTGCCACTTGGGACCCTCGAGCCCCTGCATACTTAGAAATCTTTTAAAGCCTCATCATCCTTACTTGTAAAATGGAGATGTAAATGCTCACATCTTCACAGGCAGTGAGAGTTAAACAAGAAAATAAATTAAATAAACAAGTTGTGTGTGTATATATATACATTTTTTTTTTTGGTACTGGGGATTGAACTCGGGACCTTGTGCTTGCGAGGCACTCGACGGAACCACTGAGCTAAATCTCCAGCCCCTTAAATTGTATATTTAAGTGGATAGTTTCTATTTTGGGGCTGAAAGCCACATTGTCCTTTTCATGAAAATGATCAACCCTTTAAATATGAAATTGGGGGCCGGGGATTTAGCTCAGTCATTCCTCTGCCTGCCTTGCAACCACAAGGTCCTGAGTTTGATCTTCAGTACCAACAAAACAAAACAAAACAAATAAATATGAAAATGGGCAGGGCCAGGAATCCCTGCAGTTCAATAAAACTGTAAACTAGACGTGCTGTACCCGACATGTGCTGTACCCAACATGTATCCTGTAGCTCTATGATGCCTCTAACACTAACTGAAGGAAGACGGACATTCAGCCACCTGAACAACACATGGTGGTAAAGGATGACAGAATATACCAGTAGGCTAGGCATCATTTGCTTAATATGTTAAAAAAAATCTTAGTGGGTCCCAAAATACTTTTTGTTAACTCATTTGCTTTTATTCTTGTCAATGGAAAACATTCCCCCCTCACCATGAAAATGAAGAAAATTTGGGCCAGCGGTTTGGCTCAGTGGTGCCACCACCTGCCTTGCAAGCGCAGGGTCCTGAGTTTGATCCCTGGTACCGAAAAAAAAAAGCCAACAACAAAAAAAAGAAAATGAAGAAAATTTTAGTTGTAACTACCATGACGATATTGAGTGCATGCAAAAACCTAATTTTTGTTGTCTAAGCATCTGTCTTTGGAATACTGGGGTGCCAGGAAGACCAAAAATGCAAAAAGGAGATGAAAGAAACTAGCTTCTAGATCTCCTTCCTTGCAGAATAACTCTGACATACCAACTTGTACACCAACCCCATGCTTCATCAAGTTATACAGAATCATTAATATCTCTCCTGTTTCTTTCGTTTTTTTTTTTTGGTGCCCGGGATCGAACTTGGGTCCTTGCACTTGTGAAGCAGGCTCTCCTGTTTCTTTTAAAAGTAAAAACTGCCATTTAGGACACAGATCTATCTTCAGAGCATCTATGTATTTCTAAGGGGTGATGGGATTTCACATTCATTTTATAGACATGTTTTTTTCATGTCCTGGTTTCTGTATCACATTACAGCTATGTATCCTTTGCTGGATTTTCCTCTTTATGACCTCTCCATGGGCAGGTTACAAAATAAATATCTGTGTTCCTCTCACTACGAGTATTTTCCTCTGCCCTAGTTGAAACCCATCCATTAACCAGGTCAGGGAAAGCACCCTTAAGTTGTGTGTAGGCTCGAGGGAACCATGGCTTTTATCTACTTCTCTAACATGCCTGGGTTTTAGAGTTAAATATTTTTATTTCTGAAAATTGAAGTGCTGGAAATACAGTGGCAGTATAGCTGTTAGGAAGCTTGTGTGTCCTATCCAAAGGCAAAGGTTCCAAGGTTGAGAGCACATTTATGTTAGACTGCAGCAGGTAGTTCCTCAGGTATATAAGTATGCATAAAGAAAGACTTTTGGTTGTTCTTTTAAACCAGACCTTTTGTTTCTCTTGCTCTGAATGAATAGAATCAGCAAAATTAAAGTGAAACTCACAAAATAATGACCAGGCAATTGCTCCTCATGGCTGTGAGAGAGATCAGCAAGTTCACTAGCCACTTAATTTCAAAGGCAGAGTATTAAATCTGGTATGATTTATTAATTCACCAAAACACAGTGAATTAATATGGACAGAATGTAAGAGGAGCATACACATTTATATATCATATATAGACACCATCTGAGCTAACTAGAGAAAGTTAGATATTTTAACACTGCCTAAAGTCAGTATTTTATATCTATTATTATTAAAGATTGTCTTATGAATATTAAAGTTGTTAAATTTACACATAGGTCAAGGAACAGGAAAACTGTATGATGAGTTCTCCTACTTTTAAATATGTTTAAAAAATTTTACTCATGAAACAAGAGTCATTTGGTGCCATGCTTTTATTCAAATGAAAGGGGAAAAACTACACTGTATCAGGAAATAGCAAATACGACAATATTTTACAGCACAGCATCTTTTAAAAAACCTGTAAGCAATGCTCTAGAGTGGACAGGTACACACATCATACACTGTACATCGCCCAACAGTATCCATGAAATCAGAATTAAGAGCTGACTTTGGCTTTAAACAGCCAAATAAAAACTGTAACAGTCATTCTAAACAAAACTGAAAAGTCAAGAGGAATTAAAAGCTTTCCAAAGCCATGTCAAACACTGATAACCTTGACAAGTGTTTGGCAAGTTTAATTGAATAATTACAATAATTTGACCTTCAATAATGAAAGCACCAGTGCGTTTCAGTAAGGTTGACAAAAATCTCCAAACTTTATGAAATGGGATGTTTTTTCCTTTGTATAATTTAAAAACATAATTAAAAAAAAGCTGGACCCAAATAAAAACTCTGAAGACTTAGAGAAGTATCTCCATATTCCTTTTGCATTAATAAAGTAAAATCTTGTACTGATAGCAATGAACTTTGTGGCAATATTCACATTCTACCTTTAGACCTTACAGATGTTCAATTCAATTGCTGGACACACACAAAGGTAAGAATAAAGGTTAGTCTTGTTTAGGGTTCAATAGCTCCTCCATTGTCTTGCATCCGATTTTTCTTTAATAACTCAGGTAATATCAAGATGATTGCCTTGGTAAGGGAAATTTAATTGAAAAGAACAAATTTAGTAATGTAAAATGCTTATTAAATTTTTCTTTTGACTATTATTCACATTCTGATTAGATTTACTTATAATTATTTTAAACTAGGACAATCTCAACATGTATTTGAAGATCATTTCTAATTGTGATAAAAATTGTTGTCTGAAAGGTAAGATGTATAATTCCCCATTTTAATATTTATATATTATATACATAATATGTATACACTTAAAATATGAGAGTTACATATCCTGGTTTCTCACATGCAAACAGCAGATCACAAATAGTTTTGAGCTACACATATATCTTGCACAGGTATTGGAAAAAATCTGTGAAATTTTTTTACAGTTTTAACAAATATACATAAATATAAGAACATAAATTACAGTAAAATATTGACAGCATTTGAGAAAATGTTGGTAAACCAGATGCACTGATGCCTAAAGGCCTTATAATAATAGAAAAGTACAGCTCAGGGACATCTCATTCCTATTCTTTTTATTTTTTAAATAAGTAAATACATCATATGAGACTTTAGTTCTCTCTCTAAACAACTCAATTAGAGAAACGTATCTATTTTCATTTCTACTTCCCATTAAAGAAAACAAACTACGCATCTCATTTATGATATAATACTGCCTTTCCCCCCTAGTTTACACAGTTGTCACAACACTGAAACATAACAGGGTCACATAATCATTCAAGTCTTTTCCTGAGAATGAAGTTTTCCCCCAACTAACCCTCTGGTATACACTGTTAAAGAACAAAGATCATGTAGAGATTTCAAGTGTGTCCTTACTAGCTGTTCCACTTGAAAAGGATTAAAAAGAAGAAAAACTCAACATAAGTAAAATAATGTGAAGCTATTTGAAAATTAAAATGTAGCCCTTTGTATGTTTTAAAAATTCTAAATATAATTTTTGTCTCAGTTATAAATATAATGTAAAGACCTCCTGAGAACTTGCTTCAGGAAATCTTACATCTTCAGACTGAAAGACTACTCTCAAAGTGTCATTCACTTCTGCCAGCTTATAAAGTGACTTATTTTAAAAGAGATAGAAATCCTTTTTTGTTAAAAGAACAATCTAAATTATTCTGAGTTGGCCAGAAGTGGTGTAAAAACAGCACTGATTTAATCAGCAACTTATTAACATATTCTTGGTTAAGCTCATGTGGCTTAAAGCAAACCTATTAGCAGCTCTTTACAACACTTCTTATTTAATAGAGAAATATTAATACTTGCATGAATAATAAATACAGTATGGTAAATACTTAGAATAATTTTTGCAAATGCTCTAATACCATTAAAACATGAGGGTTATGTAAAATGTAACACTAGTGTTTCTCAACATAGTAAAAAAGGTGCAAGTTACTTCTGAAGGTGTATTTCCTACTTTCATGATCTCTACATAAAACAAAATATAGAAGTGTCTTAGAATAAATCCTCAGGAGAGAAAGGGAACAAAATAAACCATCTGGAGACAAGCATGTACAGTAAAAGGTAAAAAAAAAAAAAAAAAAGCAACCAATACAACCCATAATTTGTAATCCTAGCCATATTTCACAAACATCTGCTCCCTCGTGTCCATGAGAATCCAGGGCTTCCACTTATCTAGTATCAAGCAAATGGATCCAGTAACACACAGATCTCCAATTGTGAATCAAGCACTTCCTTTCATCACTTGGACTTACCACCTAAGCGAGACTCTTCTGCATTCCAAAATACTATGGTTTACATTCCAGTTGTTCATGACAACAGAGTTAATGTCCAGTTTTAATTAATAAGTCTTGTTGGCAATTAGAAAGCTTTTCTATAGGCAGGAAAGATGAAGTGCAAATTCATGAATGTTCTGAAGCAAGTATTTCCCAACTCCTATGCCTTAGTAGGTACAAGTTTTTTGGGTGTTACTGGTCTTTTGGTCTGCCACAAATGGCTATGAATGGTAATTGCATCAACACTGGCAGATAAAGTTTTAGCTGGTATGTGGCTAAATTGTTTCCTGTCAGAATTATATTTGTAAAGTCCCTCAATCATTTTTTTAGTGATAGATTTAGGGCCTATCCCAGTCAGTTTACTGATTTCTTCGGTTTCTGGGCAGTAAGTATACAAAGACCTGAACTGGCAGCCTGAATCCCGGAACAAGATTAAGAAGTTGTTGGCATCTGACTTCTCCATTTCCTTTAGAAAACAAAAACAAAACAGTAACAATAAAAACCCTTATGTATTTTGCTGAACAATATTTATGTAACTGTGTAAAAATAACAAAAACCCTTATATATTTTGCTGAGCAATATTTATATAACTGTGTAACATTTTTGGATCAAATTTTATGACAGATTTTAATGACTACTTTTATTATTTTTGGTGGTGCTGGGGCTCAAACCCAGGGCCTCATGCATACTAAGGAAGTTCTCTAGTCCTGAGCTATACCCCCAGCCCTATTTTAATGATAAATTTTAAACTATATTCTTAATCTTTAAATCTGCTGACTTTCAGAATCCAATTTGAGATTCAACTAAATCTAATAACTGAAGCATCTCATTATAGACCTCTTATGTGCTACTGAAATATTGGGCCTATGAGAATTTTCTTAGGTATTGGTAAAAAGACCTCCATAGTTTTAGAATGCTGTTAAATTAACTTTCATGCAAACGTGCTCACCTCCAGGATCTTTTTCTTCTGACCTTCATTTACTTTTCCAGCCAGACAGCAATGGGCTAAAGCATTTTGTATTATGTGCTTATTGGACTTTGCACTGGGTTCTTTGTAGAGCTTTGGTCCTGTGGTAAGGATTTAAGACAATTAAAAAAAATTACATCCCAACACAGAAATGTTATTTTATTTGACTCTATTTTTTAGTTTGTGCTTGTTTAATTTTTTTTTTGGTATGAGGGATCAAACTTGGGACCTTGTGCTTTTGAGGCAGGTGCCGAACTACTGAGCTAAATCCCCGGCCCATGTGCTTGTTTAATTATTGGGGGTTTTTGAGACAGGGTCTCGCTAGGTAGTGCAGGCTGGCCTTGAACTCACTATGTAGCACAGGCTGTCTTCGAACTCATGGCAATCCTCCTGCCTCAGCTAAGATTACAGATGTGTGCCACCATGCCAGGCAGAAATGCTATTTTAAAATGATGTAATTTTTTCTTCACTGGTGAAATTGCTACACAAAACAAAATTCTGTGTTAAAGGCTTTTTACTGGCTGCACTCCAATCAAAGCACTGCTTTATCTGCATCGGGATGTATCTGAGGACAATCCTATGGCTTTCTGAGGCTGCCTAGTGAGAGGAGCGCTGGAAACAGGTATTTCCGTAATTATCACACTGCCTAATCTTAAGTTTGATGAGGTTACAAGTGAGTTTAAAGCAGAATGGGCCTAGAAGTAATTTAAGCTTTTAAGAAGGAAAAAAAAAAAGCTTCATCTTTTTCAGACTGTTCAACTGAACAGAGAAGCAGAGCGAGTAACAAGGAAATGTCTAATCCAAGACCTTGAAGGCTGTCAGACTGGCTGAAGGAGATAATATTAAAATCCATACAGCAGGGAGGAAAAACGGTACAGAGTGAACTGTACATGGCAAGGCTCTAGCCCCATAGGCTCTGTAAGGCTTCCGCCTCTGCAGGATTGCAGCGGGATGGGGCCATCTCCTTTCCTCTGCTCTTCCCCATACCTGCTCTCCTGTGCCTTCCCATCTACCCCTCAATATGCTGCTCACCTTTCTTCTCATTTTCTCTCCTGCTTCATATGTTTTAAGTGTCCTTATCAACATTCTCTTTTTCAGTTTGCTTCTACTTCCATCATCCTCACCCTCCTAATGGAGGCTGGAAGAAGACTTGGTGGGTATATGAGAGGCTAGATTGATCTCCTAGATTCAATGCATTCTCCTTATCTTTTAGAGCCTTTTGATACTTTTAAACATCTGACATCCCAACACTAGAGAGGACTTGAGATTCCAGCCTTTACATAGTAATGAGGACCTATGTGCTGCTGACAGAACTCTAAAACTTCTTCAAACTCAAACTACTATCCAGAAATGGCCAGAATTCTAAAGATCAAAGTAGAGGGATGAAATGTAAGTGGCATCACTAGTTTTGTTTAGAAACCTATTTCCATTCACCTGGGAAAGTCACTAACTCCCTAAGTACAAGGGATGATCAAAACATACAGTAAATGTTTACATTAGAAAATACTCTCTCTTGGTCCAAGCACACTATCCCACCATTCTTGCCACTTTCTGAAGCTGTTCTGGAAGTGGAAGTCCTTTCATGAGTTTTTATGAGATATGATCTCATAAAATGATACGGTGAAAGCTGCTACCCCAGGCTACTGAATGGAAAGGCAACTCATAAAAACATTACAGTTGTCCCCAACCACGTTATTCACCAGATCTGACACCATGCAATTTCTGGCTCTTCCTCAAAGTCAAAATGATCATGAAAGTAAATATTTTGAATCAATTCAGAACATGGAGGCAGCCAAGACAGCACAACTAACGACAACTCATGAAAATGGACTTCCAGAACCGCCACAAAAAGTGGCAAGAACAATGGGATAGATGTGTTTGAAGCAAAAGGGACTATTTTGATGGGGATTAATGGCAATGTGTCTTTTGCTGTAATAATTGGTTTTTTTTTTTTTTTTGGTACTGGAGATCGAACTTGGGTCCTTGCGCTTGCAGGGCAGGCAGTGGAACCACTGAGCTAAATCCCCGGCCCCTGTAATAATTGTTTTTTCAAAATGTAAATACACTCGTATTTCTATCGCACCTCAAAGAGCAGCACTGGTGAAGCTGAGCTACTTGAAAATGACCATTTGAGTGTACTGTTTTTGTTTAAATCAGAGATTCTTATGTTTAGACCAAAAGGTGAGCCAATAAAACTTTTAGTGTATCCTGCATGTATTCTTAGTGTATTAAATTCTAATGCTTCCCTCAAAATGTACTGACACTAACCTGTGTATTCTGTTCCAGAAGCCACGGAAGAAGTTGTAGATGCATTTTCCCAGTCTTTTTCTCCATTTCTACTGCCACAGCGACTTGGAGACAAGAAACCTTCCACAGACTCTGATCTAAATTGTAAAAAACATTTCTTATGTTTCAAATACAAGAACACTTTGGGGCCACAGAGTATGTGTAAGTACATCAACAAAGACAACCTAGGGCCTTAAAATAACATAGTGATGATGTTTGTCTTAGGCACAGCTTTATATGCAGGTTCTCACAACCAGTATCTGTAAATATTTATTGAAAAAAAAGAAACGTTTTTCCATGTAAAAACTGGTAACTAACCCAACAGAGTAGTAATACAAAGATCAGAACTTTAAAATGATGACAGTCATTAAAACATTCTTTTCTGGTATGGGCGTTATAGTGTAAGATGATAAAATGACTTTTAGTTTTTAGACTATATCCTAGATAGTGCACAAAAGAGATCTTTCATCAGGGTGTTAAAACTCAAATGTTAAATTCAAATAGGTAGCCTACTTTGAAATTATTCCAATGGGGAAAACTCTAATATTCAAAGGGAATTAAGCTTGAGAGGCTGACAGTACATATCGTATGTTCTGTTTCTGCTCACTATGACTTAATAATAAACATGTTAGCAATTACTTGCTAACAATTATTGTTAGTATTTATTGCTTATAAAAAGTATCTTATCAATGTCAGTATTTCTAAATTGTAATTGTTAATTTCTTTTAACAGGAATCCAAGTAGTCCTAAGACAGCAAAACTTTATTATGATTCAGTCATTATAAAATATGAAATAAAACCATGAAAGAATTTTTACTTAAAATTATATATAATGGCAGATATCATAATCTTTCCTATGAAAGATATTTATATGTTTTTGATTTACCTTGGTGTCCTCTTGCCTGAATGGACACTCTCATTATCACCTGTGTTCAACGAGGCCAAAGAAAGGCTAGAGACTGAAAAAAAAGAAATTTGTGATTCTGAGCAAGAAAAATTAGAAATTTAAAAGGAGCAACTAACAGTCTGCTCATTAGATAATATCAGCATATGAAAACTGAGCTTCTGTAGCTTCTTTTCCTTAACTCTTAATTAAACATGTATGCATGCATATGTGAAATTTATTTAGAATTAACAACCTACTTTCAGAAAACAATGATAAAATTAACTCGCTGTTCCAAAACTAAAATGCTAGTCAGATATCCTCAACAAAGAAAACTATATTTAGTAATATCTGATTCCTAGGTAGAAAATTAATTTACTCATTTCAGCCAATGCTGTCTATCTGAGTTTCACTGGCTGGGAGTGGTGGTACATGCCTGTAACCCCAACTACTCAGGAAGCTAAGGCAGGAGAACGTCCACTTTGAAGCTCGCCTACACAACTTAGTGAGACCCTCTCTCAAAATAAAAAAATTAAAATGGCTGGGGATATAGCTCAGTGGTAGAGCACCTTTTGAGTTCCATCTACACTACCAAAAAAAGCAAAAAGCAAAAAAAAGCTTCACTGACAAGATAAGATGGAGCTTTTAAGTAATGCTGTTATTTTCCCTCATTTTTAGAATAACTATGATAATTCTCTAAAATTTTCTATGGCGATTAATTTTTTTTAGACAGAGTCTTGCTATACAGTCCAGGCTGGCTCGAACTCAGGGCCATTCTCCTGCCTCAACCTCCCGAGTGCTGGGATTCCAAGTGTGTGCCACCACGCCAGGTTCTATGGCATTTACTTTAAATAAGTTTTAAAGAATAAGAGTATGAATGGTAAGTTAAAAAAATGTATTTTCTCAACTCAGGTATTAGAAATTTGGATTCTTGACCACTTCTGTCTTACAGGAGGGACCTGCAAACTCTTGATCTTATATTCCTTATTCCAGACATTTTCTTATATATTTCATGCATAAAACATTTACATTAAGTTTACAAGTATTTTAATAGTAGTTAATAATTCAAGGAGATTATATATGAGGACAGTTCACTAATAAGCTGGTAATTGAAATAGATTTTAAACATTTTTTTCTATTAAATATATGCATTCATACATAATACATATAATTCATAAAGAAACTTTTGCCAAAAAAATAAAACAAAACCAAACCAAACAACATTGCATCTTCACATCATTTTGGGGGCTGGGGATTTAGTTCAGTGGTTTCGTCCCCTGCTGCGCAAGCACAAGGACCCAAGTTCGATCCCCGGCACCCGCCCCCACCCCCCAAAAAAAACAACATTGCAAAAAACTTTTGCCCATTTTGGTTTTTGGAATAAGAACATGCACAATCTCAAAATGAGCATCCAATTTAGGAGTATCAAAGCATTATCAAATAAGTATGACAAAGCATGCTGGTGGTGTTTCATGAACAGACTCCCTTAACAAGCTGTTACCTGGAGGACCTTTGATTGGGGTTTTGGGGGACTCAATATGATCTCTGTGAATTGACTTTGGCCGCTGTTTCTTCTGTTTTGCCACCTGAGGCCGGGGCTTAATCACTGTATCCATGTCTTCCATTAGTTTCAGCTGTTTTCGTCTCATATATTCTTGCCTAATAAATTCTCTGCGTGCTTTCTCATCTTCTTTCTTTTGACGCTCTTCTTCAGTTTTACGCCTAAGAAATTACACGGTGAAATTTTTTATTTTGCATATCAAAGACAAGTGACACTGGAAAGAGCTACAAGCTTTGATGTGAACAGGGAGAATTACTATATTTCAGCACCTTGGGGGAAAAATGTACTTGAGAAAATTTAAGTCATGTGTATGTGTGTGCATGTATATATATCTATGTATTTATATCTTCCAATGAAGTTATTTTAAATTAATGCTTTGAAACATTTAAATTTTTTAAATTAATGTTCCTGGAGAACTTTGACATGCTAAGTCAGGCAATACTCTGGGAAATAAAAGTCAGCACTGATCCCGATGTCCAGCATTTATAAATATCTCTGGAAAAACAAAAATCTGTTAATTAAAAAATTAATGAGCTGGGGATTTAGCTCAGTGGTGTTGTGCCTGCCTTGCAAGCGAAGGTCCTGGTTCAATCCCTGGTACCCGGGGAAAAAACAAAAAACAAAACATAACAAAAAGCCCCAAACAAAAACAAAAGTCTGGCAGAAGCTGCCAACAGACTCATTAAAAAAAAAAGGCCAGGGATTTAGCTCAGTGGTTCTGGGACCTGCCTCACAAGCACAAAGTCCTGAGTTCGATCGCCAGTACAAAAAAAAAAAAAAATTAATGAGGCCAAGCATGGTGGCACATGCATGTGATCCCAGCTACTCAAGAGGCTGAAGCAGGAGGTTCCGAGTTTAAGCACAGTGAGATCTGTCTGAAAATAAAAAGGGCAGGGGATGTAGCACAGTGGTGAACCCTCGATAATGACAGGCAGAGGGAGGGAGAGAAAGAGGACACACTTAACAAACAGGCCGATGCACCCTAATGCTAGGATCTGAAATTCACACAGCAGTGTCCTTTACCTTGTCTCCTCTTTCCTGTGCTCCATTTCTGCTTCCAGTTGCTGTTTCCGAAGCTGAGTTTCTTTCTCCCTTCTTAATCGTTTCTCCATCAAAGCTGCTCTTTTCATTGCCATATCATTTTCTGCTTTTTGATCATCCTAAGAAATTTCATTGAAACAGGAAGAAACATTTTAGGTACTAATGTTCTTATTTCTACTTGTCACATTTTATGGTTACTCTTATAACTGAAAACCTGAACTTTACTAACCCTACCAAATGTGGAAATAGTTCAGGAATTATGATGGAAGAACTGAAAGTGGTAACAGTTCTATCAATTACACTTGATCTTAGCCAAAAGGCTGAGAAGCGCTAACAGTTCTATCAATTAACAAAGGACACATAATGACTGACCATCAATGAAATAAATGTTTTTTTGGACTGTGGTAAGTAACCTGGAGGGGCGAGTTAGCCTCCAATTATTACAACTGTATTTAAATTTTATTTAAAACATATGCTCAATAAAAACACTCATATATAAAAAGCATTCCAAAACTAGCTATTCAATATTATACCACATAAATGAAACTACTATATCTTTTTAAAGCTGATACACTGACAGTTTGATTGGCAGGTTCAGAATGTGAAGAAAAGATGGACAAAATTATACTCTTCCGAAGTTTTCTTTTTGATACCATGACCTTGTGCCTGCGAGGCAGGTGTGGTGCCACTGAGCTAAATCCCCGGCCCTCCAAAGTTCTTTTAATCCAGTTAGTTCGTACTCTGTAGCCCTCCTAGGCCTGCCTGGCTTTTACATGATCCTTTGGGACAGCTCTAATTTTTAGGAGTTTCTAAAATGCTTCAGATTCATGAGTAGTTCACTGTCCTAATGATTTCTTGTCTTTTGTCCTTGTCAGTGCTTAATTCATTGGTGTCTAATATATTCACAACATAGTGCCAGAGATTATAGATATTAAAATATGAAAAATGTAAGAGGTTAAAAATCACAAGGGGAAGAGGTACAAAACAGGTGCCTTGTACAGGAGCCCAGGGAAAGATTTAATGGATAATGGAGAGAAGTCAGGAGACACCATTCAACTCATCAGTTCCAACATCCACATATTTGTATCTGTGTGTACTTTATTATACCCTAGGGGTAAAGAGATGCAATATCTCTGAGAGTTCATAGTCCAAGAGACAAAACAAATAGGAAATAACAAAACTGGGTCACAGGTGTTATAGTTTCAGAGTATGTTTAGAATACAACAAGACACAAAGGAGGAAATATTTAACCTCCAATAAGGGGGAAAGAAAGGCTTTAAAATAAGCTTGAGGGGACTGGAGATTTAGCTTAGTGGTGCCAGAACCTGCCTGGCAAGTGCAAGGTCCTGAGTTTGATCCCTGGTTCTGAAAAAAAAGAAAGAAAGAAAAAAGCTTGGGCCGGGGATTTAGCTCAGTGGTTTCGCGGCCTGCTGCGCAAGTGCAAAGACCCGAGTTCGATCTCCGGTAAAAAAAAAAAAAAAAAAAAAGAAAAAAGAAAAAAGAAGCTTGAAGGTAGTGTTAATGAACACTCTAAGATAAAAATTATGGGGAAGAGGCTGGTCAAACAAGTTTAGGGTAGTCTAAGAAAGTCCCTAAATGTTATACTAAAGGTGAGAACCTCATTCAGCAGGGAACTCTTCAGATTTCAACTGGAGCTATGCTCCTGGGACATTAGCAGGATGAAGCATGGAACGGTGTGATTAGAGACAGGGAGCCTACTTAGGAAGCTATACTCAGACCAAGGGATGAGTTTTGGGGTGGTAAAGATCTGGAAGGAAATGAAGGTACAGATCTTCTGCCCGTGTTACCTTAAAGTCCCCATACCCCTCTCCATTTTCCTTTCTCTGTAGGAACAGAGGCAGCAAAGGTTTCTAAAATTAGACAGTAAACTTTAATATACATTGTCTACAACAGCACTCCATAAAAAAGTTTTACATGATCAAGAAACAAAATAAAGGGCAATCACCCTGAGATCAAATTAAAAATAAATTTTATAGATTGCAAGCATTAAATGATCAAAAGTAAAACTAGCAATTATAGTCAACTCAACAGTCTTGGTTTTTTCACACTTTATGAGCTTAAATTATAAACTAGCATTGGTGGGTGTCGTCTTTTCTATTTATACTCCAAATTGTGGAGTGATACAGGATTAAAGACTATCAATGTTAGGCCCTTAATTAAAAAACAAAAGAGAAACATGAGTAACTCATATTTCTAACTGCAGAAAAACATATAGATAAAAAAGTGAGTGATAATCTAGTAGAAAATGTTTTATATTATAGGTTTTTCTTTCTCTACTTTTCCTGTTATCAGCGATAAATTCTAAGATCTTCATTATAAAGAGGTGACAATGTTCAATATCTGGGTTAGATGGCTGCAGAAGTGTTTAAATAGTTTACATATAAAACCAATACTAGGCCGGGGATTTAGATCAGTGGTTTCACTGCCTGCTGCGCAAGCGCAAAGACCTGAGTTCGATCCCCGGTAACAACAACAACAAAAAACAATACTAAATTTCAAATCTGTATTCCAAATGTAGGGCTATTCAGGACTTGAGATTATTTTAGTCTGTAATTTAAAAAAAAGAAATGAATAACAACATTGTTGTTGGTTGTTTGTTTTTAGGGTCTTACTTATAGTTCAGGCTGGCCTTGAACTCAAAGCAATCCTCCAGCCTCAGCATCCCAAGTGCAGGGATTCCAGATGTGTGCCACCATGCCCGGCAACAAAATATATTTCTGATTAAAAAAAAATAAACATGCTCCATAATTTGGAATATAAATTAAAAAGGCAACACTCAAGAGACCATGGGCTAGATCTTTACCCAATGCTTTTTTTTTTTTTTAAGATAAGGTCTGCTATATATCCTAGGCTGGCCTTGAACTCACTATGTAGCCCACGCTTGCCCTCATGTAGGGATCCTCCCGCCTCAGCCTCCCAAGTGCTAGGATAACAGACATGTGCCATCACATCCAGCTTATCCAGTGCTTTTAAAGGAGCTATTCCAGGGGCCCTGGGTATAGCTCACTGGGAGGACACTTGCCAAGAATGTGTGAGCCCCTACATTGGATCCCCAGTAATGCAAAAGGTAGAGGGTATTTCAATGATAACTTTCCAATTTTATGTTTTTCCTTTTTAGGGGAGACAAAAGGTCTCACTATGATATACTCCAGGCTTTGAACTACAGTGATCCTCCTCCCTTAGCCTCCTGAGTGCTGGGATTATAGGTGGGCACCACTGCGCCCAATTTATATGCTATTTAAAATACTTTACCTTGTAAGATCCTATCCGGTCAGTTTTTCAAAAAAATTTATTAAAAGAAAAAATGTAAGGAAAAATGATTACTTTTTCAAAAACCTAACATATATTCCCATACAATACTAAGTTATGAGCTGTTTACAAATTGCTTATAGAATCAATCACTCTTAGAAAAGATTTGAATTGCTTAATTTTTTAAAAAGGCACTTATGGAAATGGGAAAGAGGCAGAAGAGCAAAAGCAGGAAATACACCTAAATATGGGGCATGATTATGACAAAAGGGTTTAACTATAGCTTTGAATCCACACTGGAATATTGTTTTAGAAATCACAGTGTGCTACAATGTGACTATAATACACTAAAGTGGGGCTTTCAAAATATATTTTAGAGTTAATGGCAAGCTTGTAACAAAAGAGCTGCTACTAAAAGCATGTCAACTTCAAAAAAAATATATACTCACACACATATAGAGTTGAGTATTACCTTAAAAAAGAACCCACAGCATACTTTCTGGTCATCATCAAACTGTTCTTTATCACTTTCTCCATCATATTTTTCTACAGCTACATCAGCCTTTTCAGGGGGTTTCAAATCTGAGAGGGAAACTTCAATCAGATTAACATTTTTAGAAGCAGTAGGCGGAAAAGTGGGTTTAGGAGGCGGTTCTGTAGATCGAGTCCATTGGTCCTCATTTGGTGTCAGACACACAGTCTCTGTGACAGGCTGTGACAGGACTTCTGAAACTGTTGACTCAAGAGGTTTGATCTCCTTTTCTTCAGGCTTTTGTCCCTGCTGTTCCAGAGCCCCTTTACATTCCAAGGCCTCCTTCTTAGCTTCCTCCTTCAGCTTGGGTTCCTTTAACTGAGGCTCTCCATCATCCCCAAAACATACAAATGACCGAGTCTGAATGGGAACTTGACTTGGTGAAAACCTCCTTAAGCGAGGAAGACTATCCACAGACCTCGGGGGGGTCAAGGTTCTATTCAAAGGTGTTAGTTTTAGTTCATTTGGCCTAGGAGTCCTTTGATTTTTAACAGAAGATGTGCTTTTCCTGTTAGAAGACTGTGGAGATGGGTGAGTCGGACGAGGGGAGTCTGAGGAGAATGGTGCGACAGGTGATGGCAGGCCTGTCTGTCTAGATAGTTTCAAATCTCGAATCTGTTTCTGTGGAGAGGGTTGTGGAGGTGAAATCACCCAAGACTGCTGTTCTCGCATCTGCATTAACATCTCCTGCTGAAGGGACAAGCGTTGCATTTCTTGCTGTAGAAGATGCAGGGATGAATTCAACTTTTCAATGGATTTTGTATATTCTAAAATCTCTCCTTCATTTAAATTCTCTTCTGAGGGGCTTGCTAGATTCCACTGCTTCTCAGAATCAACAGGTGTTGTTGGAGACTTTAGCCATTTTGTCGGCGGATTCTCCATGCTTTCTTTTATGTCGGCTAGAGACTTGCTCCTTTGTCCATCAGGTTTTTGGGATTCCTTTTCTTTTGCTCGATCAGTATACACTTTCTCATCTTCTGCACCAGCTGCTTCCTCTCGAAGAGGGGAAATCCCATCCCCCCTTTTTTTCACTACAGTAAGGAATGCTGTCCTTCCCATTTTCTGCCTCTGTTTGGTAAAAGCCGCTTCCATCTTCTTTTTCTGGGCTTCTATAGCACGCCTCTTTTCTTCTAGTTTCATCCTAAGATGCACCATTTCAGAAGCCAACAGCTGTGTAGTGTCCCGTCCTTGTGGAAGGCCTGTTTCTTCTGGAATTTGTGCCCAAGCAACCACATGAGGAATGTTAAGTTCAGAGCCCTCTGGAGTAGTTTTTTGAGAACTGCTTCCACTACTTTTTCCATCAGTATAATTCAGTTTCCTGAACTTCTGTTCAGCAAAGCTGGTCATCTTAACCCCAGAACTAGAAGAAGCACTGCTACCTGGCTGAGACTTGTTACTTACAGTACTTGGACAAGGACTTGAAGCTTCTCTGGGATTGTTGGTTCTTATATCATAGTCCTGAAGAAATTTAGATGCATCATCCATGTCAGAATCTAGGCTTACAGTATAATCTCTCAAAGAAGAGTCTTCATCCATAGTTTCAGGAATGTCTTCTGAAGGAACATGAATTCCAGTGTCTACTTCTGTGGTATCAGTTATGGGACTTAAGGCACCTTTTGTATCAGTTAGGTTGTCTGGACTAGATTGACTTAGCTTGATATTTGAATTTAAGATACTCATTTCCTGGCTATGAAGAAAGAAGCCATTAGCAATTTGGTCTGGCCGAGGTGTACAGGGAGATTTTTCAGTATCATGAATTATTTGTAGTGCTTCCTCAATGCTTGGTGTTTCAATCTGATTGCCAAACTCATCTAGAAGTACTCTATTTTGTAAAGCTCCATTGGGAAGCTTGTAATGCATATTCTCATTAGAATTTAGTTCATTTGTATTAAGGGGCATGTAAGATCTGAGGTCACTGTGAGGGTCTATATTAAGTTCTTCTTCAATGCTTTCTGCTTCTTCTTCTCCATTTACGGGCTTAAAGGACAAATTTTTCCTAATGTGTTTAGGTAAACGATTGTTGTTCAGAGTAAGTCCTTCATTACTAATAGAACGTGTGATTCCTCGGTTTGGAGTGGGTCTCTGTACACTATCTTCTTTATCAAAAGAAATATCAAATGAAACACCATGCACCGATGATCTAAAAAAAAAAAAATTAAAGAGAAAATCCTTAAGTAATCCCAGCAAATAAATGACTTTTAAGGTAATCACTGAACAATTCTCTGAAGTTGTATTTCCTTTCTTTCCCCATTTCTCATAATCATATTGCCCTCAGGGTAAGTTAGGACTATTTAGCTACCTTGTACATTTAGCCCCTTTGACTTCTCTATCATCTGCCTGTGCTGCCCTTTTCAAATTTAGTGTTAATTTAAAGTCTAGATCTGGAAATCTAGCTAATAATAAAAGACAGAGAGAGAGAGGGAGAGAGAGAGGGAGAGAGAGACAGAAAGAGAGAAACGTGGCATTTCTTGACAATGTGAATATACTCAAGAATAATTCTCTTCATTTACCTTTTCTCTTTGGGCCATGTTCCTATGAAGCCATCAACATAAGACATAGACGAAGACCTTCTAATTCCTCCTTTAAATGAAAAAAAGAAAAAGCCACTAAAGTGAGCAATTTAACAGATTTCACATATTTGATGATTCATTAATAGTGCTAAAAAAGTAAGTAGAATCCCCAGCACACACACACACACACACACACACACACAAGCTTTAGGGCTAAGAATGTAGCTCAGTGGTATGGCATGTGCTTAACATGAGCAAGGTCCTGGGTTCAATCCCCAGGAAAAGTAAGTAGATACATATGAAAATTAGCAGAGGCTGGGAATGTAGCTCAGTGGTAGAGCATTTGCCTAACATGGGAGACATGGAAGGCTCTGGGTTGGATCCTTAGCACCACAAGAAAGAAAATCAAGCACAGCGAAAAGGACCACCCAGACCAGCCTCAGTCACTTTCCATAAAAAGACTAAATATTTGTTTATTTATACTTATTCTTAATAATTTCCCAGTTAATCTACCTAAAATAAAATTTCCTAGGTTTCTGAAGTAAGTTACCTGAAGCTGAAGAATGGGCTTGAGAATGTGAGTATCTAGCAGGTAAATGATGAGACTGTGTGAATGCAGCTCCTTCCCCACTGCAATGCAGAATACATTAAAATGTTAAAATTAAATGTTACATTTTAGCTCTTTAATATAAATTTTATATAGAATGGCTGAAGTAAGAAATCATACTATCACCTCTGATTGTGCATTCAAAATAAAAACAATCTACTGTTTAAATCAAACAATGGTTGTATGTATCTATTTTATGTCTTTAAATTGCCAAACAATTTGAGATACTTTCATACACATCTCAGTGTCCTTATGAGATAAAACACGGCATATTATTTTCCTTTTATCAGTAAAAAAACTGAGAAATCAGTCAAAAAATGGGCAACCAAAATGAAGTACTAATGTTGAATAAATACATGAAAGATGTTCAACATTTCTGGCCATTAGAGAAATGCAAATTAAAGCAACACAGATCCCATCTTATCCCAGAAAGAACAGCGGTAGAGGCTGCAGTGAAAAAGGAACCTTTCTACATTGTTGGTGGGAATGTAAATGAGTACAACCACTATAGAAATCAGTATGGAGATTCTTCAAAAACCTAAAATTAGCTGGGGATTTAGCTCAGTGGCACCATGCCTGCCTTGTAAGCGCAAGGTCCTGAGTTTGATCCCGGTTGAAAAAACAAAAAGCCAACTAAAATTAGAAATTCCATCGAACCCAGCCATTCCCCTTCTAGGCATCTTCCCAAGGGAGTTAAGGTTATCATTTACAGTGATACACATAAACAATGTTTACAGAAGAACCATTCCTAATAACGAAACCTTGGAAGCAGCCTATGTCTATTAACGACTGGATAAAGAAAATGAGGTATTTATACATAATGGAGTATTTCTCTGCTATAAAGAAGGATACATTTGAGTCATTTGTAGGAAAATGGATGCACCTTGAGACCATAAAGTGAAATAAATCAGACACACAAGCTTAAATATTATGATTTCTCATAATCCAGAATCATATAATCATAATCATTATCACAATCATCTCATCTCATAATCATTCTTCAGAACATAAATTAAAGAACAAAGAAAAGACAGGTAGTAAGGAATGGCAACAGATCTTTGGCAAATGGAATGGGGCCCAAGAGACAGAGGAAGGGGGAAGAAAAGTAGGGGATGGAGATAAAAACAGAATTAAATGTTATGTACGTGTGCCAACTCTCCATGATGAATTTACTGCAAACATGTACTAATACAAATTAAAAAAAAGAAAAACTGAGAAAGAAGACATTAAACGAAACTTAGCAATTTGAAATATTTTGGTCAAATCTAAATTTCTAACTAAAAACCACACATGTAGCAAACCCTGTAGAAGACCTTGACAGCCTCCCTACTCACCGCCTGTATCTGTACATCTCTAACAGCTACCCTAAGACAGCTGTGCCTTGAAGACCTCAATGTCTATAAAGATATGAAGCTTCCTACTACTTATTTAACCCTTCCCCCCTTCCCTTCCTTCCTTCTTTCTTTTCCTTTCCTTTTTCCTCCTTCCTTTCTTTCTTTCTATTCTGGCAGGGTCTCACTATGTAGCCCAGGCTGACCTTGAACTCGAAGCAGACTCCTTCCTGCCTTAGCCTCCCGAGTGCTGGGATTACAGGCGTGCCCCACCACAGCTACTTTATCTTATTTAAACAGGAGATCAGACATTGCTTCCTCAAATTATAATGACATTTGGCCACAATCAAGGATCCTCTCTTAGTTTCCTCTGTTTAAGTGTTAGCCTGCCATGTTCCTCCCTGCAGTCAAGTGAGGAAGTTAAGCATTCCCACTGCCAACTGGCTGAGAACTGAGGAGTAAGATGTAATGACTTCTGTAGCTCCCCCAAACCATATTATCTTTCAGCTAATGTAAAATGAGAAGATGAACAAACCAATCAAAGAATTCAAAGATATATAAACATTACAATTTAACGAAAGCTTAATTGAAGAGCTTTCTCCAAAAGCAACACCCTCTCGGTTTCCTTGTAATCACTTGCAGGGACTTCAGAGAATACTCACATTGCTCCCCTGGTGTATTTGCTTCTATTAAACCTCCCTCTGAGATCACTGTCACAGTTTCTATTCTCCCTTAGCTCTGACAGGAGGGTAATCCTGAATACAAGCAAGGTGGTTATTAAAATGTGTTTATTCTTCTTCCCCAAGCAAGGGCTAAATGTTGTAGAAGCCTACTGCTTTATTTCTGTAACTGTACACAGAATTTTGATCTTGTTTAACTCTTGCATAAGATGTCACCAAATACATGGAGCAGCTGCTGAAAATATTGATTTGTCTTTTCTTTCTTTCTCCTAAGTTCTTTAAGCACAATAACATTTGTACTGTAATGTACATTATTCCTAACAGCAGAAATTATTGAATCCTTCCTTAAAAGTTATACACTGTTGGAGAATGATAAAGGACTATGTGGAGACTTAAAGAAATGAAAGGGTGACTAGTAGCCTAGAATGAGAGTATACAATTAATACTTCAAGGAAAAGAATCTAGATGAATTTCTGAATTTTAAAAAGTATTTCTGCTAGCAAAAATAGGAAAAAGTAGTCACTCAGACGTCTGAACAAAAAGGGACAAGTCTACTATAGAACCTAAATTAAAATATTTTCTAGTGTCAGAAATGTTCCTGGAAATAATAATTATGGAATAATCTGTTCCTAAAGAGGCAAGTCTCACTTTCTACTTTAAGGTGGGCCTTAAAGATATAATAGCACTAGAGTGATGACTTAGAATACCGAGCATTTTATAAATTTTCAAGGAAGGAAATATCACTATATAACCAACCAAGAAAGCATTGAAGAGATAATATTTAGAAAAAGTTACCCATGGGAAAAATACACACAAGCTCCTTGATCAACAATGTTTTAACTTAACTCCCTGGAACTAAACCACAGAAACAGTTATGGATAGAAAACTTAATGGAAGTAGTAAGAATATTCATAGTAGTTAATTGGAGGGTAAGGAAAGAAAATGCTTTCTTTCTTTCTTTTTATTTTTGGTACCGGGGATCAAACTTGGGTCCTTGCGCTTGCGCAGCAGGCTGCGGAACCACTGAGCTAAATCCCTGGCCCAATGCTTTCTTGATTTGGAAGAAATGTCTTACAGACCTGCGAGAGTTCACACAGGGAAGAAGCCTCGCAAAGGGAATAAGAGTATTGCCAAGCGGTCAGTCAAGCCTTGGGTGACACAAATTCATCTGAACTTGAGAATGAAACTTTTAAAATGTGAATAGTACGTCACAGCTTCAAAGTAAGTTTATAGGCAAAAAATGTTACAAAGTACTGACTTTTTAAAATTTTTAATTTTGAAATGTACTTTTAATGGATGTGATTGAATTTCTGAAAACATATCAATTTTAAGCCTAAAAATCAGATAGACTGGAGTCCAAAATCAGTATAAATTTCAGGTTCTGATAGATACAAATGAAAAGCTGTTTAGAGGATCTGCCAAAGAACATTAAAACAAAAAACAAACAAATGTCCCTATCACATACCTGGAACTGTAGTCAGAATTATCCTGATATTAAATGGTAAAACATTTTTACTCTGTTTTCAGTTCAGCTCCTGATATAAACGGATAAAGCACTAGAGAAAGATTCAGTATTTATAATATTTTATTGCTATCTCTCAACAGCTATAGTAACCAGGAAATAAAACTGAGAAAAACTGCTTCAAAGATGAAAAATAATTTAAAAATTCAAATGTAACTTTAAAGTCCCCTGGAGGCCTGAGAGTTATCTACTCGACAGTTCTCAATTACACAATTAGATAATTTTCAACTATAAACACGTTATGCAGCACAAGTTTAATTTTAGGTTTGTTATTTGTACCTTAGAATGAATATATTCCTACTTTCCAGTGTAGTCCATTAAAAGGCATTTATGGAACCTTTATTTCATTGTAAATTTCAACTATATTTACATTGAAATAATCTTTAATAGATTAAGCTAATTATAACTTATTACAAAATTGAACTAAAATTTTAAAAAATCTTATTATTAATGTAAACTATTTAATTTCATTAGTAAATGGACTAGAAATAGTGAAAATGAAGTGATTATGGTGTCTACCTTGAAGTGAAGTCAGAACTGCATGAACTGTCCAAGACATTTCTTTTGGCAGTATTCAAGACAGGAATTGACGGTGTATCTTTCACAGGTTCAGCTAGAATAAAAGGTAAAATCTCAAAATTACATATTTAGCATGTTTCTAACATTATTTCAGGAATTCTGGATCATAGATAAATTTTTAAAAATATTTTTCAAAGGATCAAATATTTTAAAACATAAAGTATTCTGATTTTACAGGATTCTCTTGATTAACCAGCTAACTAGAGGGAGGGGAGCCTACTATAAAATGATATAGATATTTTAAAAAAATTTAGTGCTTAACATTGTGAAAGCTTCCACAGAATTTCAAATATATATGATCATCTTTGCTTTTTTATGGAATAACTGGCATTTTGATAATCAATTAAAGACAATTTCACTGGAGAATAATTAAAGCCACTGGAGGAGTTTTACATTTTTGTAAGGAACTTTGGAAAAAAACAACTTACTTTTTGCCTTTGACATTTAATTCAACAGTTGGTGGCATTTTGAGTAATGGGCTTTACACAGATAAAATCATAGCGGGGCCGGGGATTTAACTCAGTGGTTCGGCTGTCTGCCCTGCAAGTGCAAAGACCCGAGTTCGATCTGAGTTCAATCTTCGGTATCAAAAAAAAAAAATTATAGAAAGCAATGTAGGTGAAAATATTTTAATTTTAAAAATTGTACAAATATGGGTTATGATAATTACTAAAGATATGCGACTTTATGTAATGGCCTTAGTGAAGTATCTCAGCTTCTGAAGATATTCTTTTGTTAACTCAATATTAGGCTCAATATTCAGAATCTGCTTTAAACAATTTAGAGACACTAGGACAGAATACTCATTGCATATTTCATAGATTTTTGCCAGAGATTCAGTGAGCTGCCTGTGTAAGCTTACCGTATCCACTAGAATGATATGCCTCTTCCTTGGCTAATACTTTTTCCCTCCTTCCTTACTTACCTCTTTTCTCCTCTACTTTTTTGAGAGGGGGGAGATAACTATGGTGATTAGAAAAATAAAATCTGGAATCAAGGAAAGCTGCTAATTAGCTTTGTAACACATGGTCATGTAATTTACTCTGGAAGTTTATTAGTGGGCTAACTTTTATAATTTAAAATAATTTTCTCCCCTGCAGAAATAAGCATCCATTTTAAAATGGAAGCCAAGAGAAAATTTATTTTGCTATGCAAAATTTTGCCTTAAGAGAAAGTTAAGGAGGATTTTTGTTCTTTATTGCTAGGGATCTTTACAGTAACTTTACTTATTAGTTTTATTTTTATTATATACAATCAAAATATCAGGATACTGTAATAATCACAAAGCTAGGTTTAAAAATGTATATACAAACCTTTTTATGTTTAATGGCAATGCAAGTTGTAGGTTAAAACCAAATAATGATGTCAGTAGATTCTAGGTAATATAATGTTAAGAACAAAGATTTTAATAAGAATAAAAGATGGACAGGAATAAAAGATGCAAAGAAGTAGATGCCACATAGTTAAAGCTAAAAGTTCCAAATCATAAGATTTCAAATCAGAGCCATTCTTTCCATTTTCTTTTCTATTTCCCTAGCCATCTTCATCAGTTTCTCACAGAACATTCAGTAGCTTTAAAATATTAAAATACAGTACTTAGAATCAAAGATAACAGCTGAAATCTAAAACTATAACAGGCTTCCCTCTAAAAAAATAACTAGGTGAGGTTACATAAACTTTCCATTATTTTCCACATTAAAAAATTTTAAAGAAATGGTTACCTCCTTGTGGACAAACAACACGAGGCTGTACAAATGATGGCTTCACAACTTCAAACCACCAGAAGAGTTCTGCCATGAACACCAAATAATTACTCTATACAAAAAGTTAAGAAAATTAAAAGAAACCCTAAATTAGATTAAATTTGATTACAAATTAATGATAATGAATTTACAGTCTATTTATTAAAATACAGGGATTAAAACCCACTCACCCATTACTGGAGAATATCTAGGATATTAAATCTGGAATAAAATATTACCTATTATAGGTAAAAATTATATTCAAAATCTCTTGGCTGATTTGCTCTATAGTTACAGAATAGTTATCCAATTTATCTAGCAGGCATTAATGTCTAGCTATGTAGAACTTTGAAATAATATATAAGGTACTTTTCTTCCAAAGTAAATATAAACAAATTAAATGACCCTTCAATCTTTTGATACTCTAAGAATGGTTACCATTTAAAAAAAAATAAGCTCTACTCAGATCCCTAGAAATTCCTCTGAAAATTATGTACACAGTTTAAAATACTGCATGTGCTCAACAATGCTAAACTCAACAGTAATCCAGGTGCTAAATAACACCAAAACTTTAGATTGTTATAACTAAGCCTTAACAATTTAAAAATGTACAAAAATATTATTTATATAATTCAATGAATTCACCTAATCTTGAAAAGTTACTAGTATAAGTCAACAACTTTTATTACTTATATTTGAAAATTCAAATACTTAAAAAAAAAGGCTTAAAATTAAAAAGGGTCCTTAAAAGTACATCTCCACCATGAGCTTATATTTAATATGTACAAATCATGGAAGTATACACATGAATTAATTTTAAGAACTTTGTAAGTTTAAAAACCAGTATAAAATCAATTTTCATAATTATTTAAAATAATATGCCTTTTATAATTCGGGTACTCAGCATCTAATAAAATATTATCAAATTAATATTTGATAAGTAAAGTCTTATTTTATATTAAATTTCAGCTTAAAAAACTCGTCACTGGAAATACGGGCATTTTCCAGTGTCTTGCTTACATCCTCCTATCTACTAATTATGAATAATACTTAAGGCTTTACATATTCTCCCTTAGAATTTATACTCTCTCTTGGTTTGGCTTCTCATATTTAAGTTGGTCACTTTCAAATATTCATTTCTCATGTGATAGTTCCAGAGGCTACTGTGAATATAGGAGGTGAAAGAGAAGAGTCACAGGTGACTCTTGGGTTTCTGTCTTTAGCAACAAATATTACCATTCAATAAAACAGAGAAGATGAGAGAAACATGCAGTGAAAGGAACTGTGAGTAATGTTACCTTTGACACAGTCAACAGACAAGTAAACCCGTCCTGAGTGAGTTGAGTGTTAAGAGTCTGGAGTGTCATAAAGGATACGCATGGTGGTAAACAGAATTTGGTAGGTTTCTTTCTTTATTTTCAGTATTTGTTTTCACTATAAACTCACAGAATATTAAAATGTTTATATATAAATACTATTTGAAGCAGTATGTTTACAATTCCTCAGACTGCACAGGATCTCATTCCTGCTTGCCTTCTCAGAAACTTAATGTTCTTAATCTATATTCCTCTCCTATATATGTCTTTCCTCTCAACTGAATCTTCCCGAGTTGGCTTTTAAACATGCACAAGTCTCTCCTATACTTTAAGAGCAGGCCTATACTAATACTGTGTGCTTCATGTCATCCTCTCCTACTGCCTGATCCATACTAGTCTAGCAATGACTAGTCTACCACATCATTCCTCCAAAACAGAACTTGCTTAAGTCAACAATGAAAACTGAACCCATTTTTCACCAACTGACCTTTCAGCAGTGCTCAATACCCATGATCTTTCCTCTCTGAAACACTGCTATTGCCTATGACCATGGGCTACCAAACGACTCTTAAATGTCCTGACTGTACTGACATATACAATGCCTTCAAACCATTTTCTTTTAGATAGCTCAAAAATACTAATGTCCAAAATTGAAAGTGATTTTGCCTTTCAATTTAACCTTACTCCAGCATTGTATCATTGAATGGCACCACTATTTCAATGTGCAAACCAGAAACCTAGGAGATATCCTTCACACCTTTTCTCTCCTTCTCCATATCCAAGGTATCACCAAAATCTCCAAATTTGCCTAAATATTTCTGGAATCTATGCACATCTCTCCAATTTCATCATAACAATTCTGATTCTTGTTTGGACACAACAGCCTTGGGGGGGTGCTTTTATTAAGAGTTTCTTTTTTCTTTTAGTACCAGGAATCAAACTCAGGACCCTCACGCTTGTGAGGCAGGCACAGTACTGCTGAGCTAAATCCCAGGTAAGAACAAGCTTTTCAAAATGCAATCTCCACTGTCCCTCACTATTCTTGAGATAAAAGAGAAAAGTTAGTATAGCTTAGAAGAGGCTACTTGAGTACTTTTTCATCTTGCCAGCTTTACTTAATACGACATTCTCGAGGATTTCTCATTTTACCCATTAGTCTACAAACAAGGTCTAGAATGACAAAGCCTGTGCTCATTATTTTATGTTCAGTTGTTTAAAACAGTGCCTAGAACATGATACTCAATAAATATTTGTTAAACATATGTATAAATGAATGAACGTATGCATAATAAAAAAGGCCAGTCAGCAAAATAACCAAACATTGTTAGGGGTTTGTCCTGTGTAGTAAGGTTACTGTGATTTATATTTTACTTATCATTACAGTATAAGCTCTAAAGCCAAACTAAAAAATTAACTTTGTAAGCATTAGTGCTGGGTTCCACTCTATTAGCAGCTAACTGAAAGCCAACTATCTTTTAGAAAAAACCTTCTTATGTGTTCAATAATTAACTGTTGACAGGAAATAATATTTTTAAAACCTTGGTTAACAGTTGTTCTAATAACAGAATTGTATTGTTTGGGCAATATAGTAAGACATAATTTTCTTAGTAACTAAAGCTCATGAAGATTATGACTAAAAGGCAATAAATTTGTAACCATATTAAAATGATACATTAATTTCAAGTAAAAGCTGCTTCTTTCCTTCTTTTAAAGTCAGATATAGCTACATGTTAAAACAAGGTAAACAGTACAGAATATAGAAATATAGAATATAGAACAGAAAGTGAAAGTATGCCATAACCTCTTCCCCTGTATCCTAATATCGCACTCAGAAGAAATAAATCACTGTTGTTTTGTGTGCATCCTTCTATAGAGCATTTTCCGTGCATCTATACAGAGAGGGTCCTCAGTTCCAGGACCCACTGTGGACACAAAGTATACAATGCTGAGGGCTTTTTTAATGTAAAATGGTGTGGTATTTACATACAACCTAAGCACGTCCTCCGACAGAGTATCTTAAATCATCTGTAGGTTCCTTATAATACCTAATACAATGTAAATGCTATGTAATAGTTATGTAAACTGAATGTTTTAGGAATAGTGAGCAAAGACAAAACAAAAACATCGTCCATACATGTTTAGTATAGACACAGGATTCCCCACCCCCACCCCCACCCCCAATCTGTGGTTAGTTGAATCCATGGAATTGGAACCCTCAGATACAGAGAGTAGACCAGATGTGTACATGTTTGCACATAAACAGAAAAATGATTTTTTTGGGCTGGGGGCATGGCTCAGTGGTTCTGGGTTCAACTGCCAGCAGCACAAAAAAGAAAAAAGGATTTAAAAATACATAAATTACATCACAGTGTTCATTATGTTTGTTAACTGCTTTATTTAATGATGTCTTTTTTTTTTTTTTTTTTCACTGGGGATTGAACTCGGGTCCTTGCACTTTCAAGACAGGTGGTATAACCACTGAGCTAAATCCCGGCCCCTATTTAATGATGTCTTAAAGAGTTTCCTGTCTTGGTAAAAGTATCACCCCTTCCTTTGAACCGCTCAATTGTATTACAAAACATTTTAATTATCCCCCTATTAAGATGGATCATAGGGCCAGGATTTGGCTCAGTGGTGCTGCTGCCTGCCTCGAAAGCACAAGGTCCCGAGTTCGATCTCCAGTACCACAAAAAAAAAAAAAAAGACGGATCATTTCCACCATGAAAACTCCTTATATATGATTTCTGTAATGGTTTTTTTTGAAGTGCTCAGGATCAAACTCAGACTCACATTTTTTCCTTTTCATTTTAAATTTGGTTAAATAATATCAAATTGCCTTCTGTAGTGAGTGACCACAGCATTTTATACTTCTCACGACAGGGGAAGACTGCTCATTCCCTACATTTTCATAAACATGTTATTAAAGTGCAAATGAGGTATCCAGCATCATGGACCAAGTAACTTCTGGAAGGCTTAAGATAATCAACTAAATTCAAACCTATGGCTCTGTAATTTAGTAAATAATTTTTTCCTTTGAGATTATAGAAGTTAAAATTTTTATTATTATTATTTTTGGTACTGGAGATTGAACTCGGGACCTTGAGCTTGCGAGGCAGGTGGTGGAACCACTGAGCTAAATCCCCGGCCCAGAAGTTAAAATTTATTTTTTTAATCTTTTTCACTCATTTCATCAATTTCTTCTTTGACGGATTTTATTTATTTATTTTTGGTACCGGGGATCGAACTTGGGTCCTTGTGGTTGCACAGCAGGCAGCAAAACCACTAAGCTAAATCCCCGGCCCCAAGAAGTTAAAATTTTTAACAGGCAAGTGCCAGAAAGGTCATTGGCAAGATATATATGGAAATAATTGTTCCTAACTTCCATTTTGATTAAAAAGGCAAGATACAAATCTTCAGAATTAATCAAGATTTTTCTTTTGATGTGTCACGGAGTAGAGTGGGTACTGCTTTGCGTCAACAGGAGCACACCTATTTTGGAAATTCTTTCCCTATTGGCTCTATCTTCTGCCTTCTAGGAATCCTGAAATTGGCAAAGGAAGAAGAGGTAAGACACTGGAGAGTATTAAAGCATATGGCACTAGGGCCCTTGTGAGTGGCTCGAAGTGGTTTCTATTAAGATTGGTACTGGAACTATGATTAGGATTGATATAAAGTTGTTCCTCTTAGGAAAACTTTAAGATCATTTATTCTTAAATCTTTGACACAGAAATAGCAAATTTTCGGCAAGGATGTAAGGGACATAAAAGAATTTCAGAGCTGTGGGCCACTAGGAATAACAAAGGTATTTTTTCACCAAATGACATTCTGGATCATTAGCTGCCTTTTTAACTTGTAGCTCAGAAGCAGATGCCTGACACTGCCTGAGACTTGTATCTGTCTCTGTCACCAGGAAGTAGGTTTCAAAAGCATGGGAATCTTTGTTGCATTCATTGATTTCTCCACCACAGAGAACACTATTAGATGCTTAATAAATACTTTTGAAAGGATAGCAGAACTAACTATCAACAGGCAGTGCATGACACTCTGAAGCAAGGGGCAAATGCAATCACTAATAAAGCCAAATTCCTTTTCAGAAGGTTAATTTCCAGACCATTTTAATAATTTCTTCCCTCTTTGGAATTCTATATTTTGCCTCAAGGCTCATGCTCTATTTTACTAGTATTAAAACAATAGATCAGGATTTTTTTGTTTGTTTTGTGGTGCTTGGAATTGTATCCAGAAGTGCTCTACCATTGAAATACTTGCTTAGCCCTTTTTACTTTTTTCATTTTGAGACAGGGTTTCCTTAAGTTACCCAGGCAGGACTTGAACTTGCAATCCTCCTGCCTCAGCCTCCATTAGTGGATTACAGGTATGCACCATTGCACCTAGCTAACAATCAGTTTTGTACATGACTTTAAGTTTGGCTTTGCCTTGTAAAACGAACTATTCCTAATAATGTATTGAAAACATAAACAGAAAAAGCAAACAAAAATTATTTTCAAAACCTCTGTTGACTGATACAAGTAGTGTGCAAGCTTAATATAACTAGGACATTTCTTCTTTTGTTGTTTTTTAAAACAACCTTTAACAAAGCAAAGGAAAAAAAGAATCATTTAATTCACCTTTATGGATGAAGCAGCATAGAGCATATCTTCCAGAGTGAAATGGCAACACTGGTTCAAGTATTCTTGGCAAAATTCTTGAATCAGCTGCAGATTATACAGGCTATCAGCCAAAGACATAGTTTCTTTCAAACAAATATCTTCAAATAGAAAAAGAGCAAACTGATGACTTGGGAGTTAATCTGAGAAAAATTTTATGATTGCTTCTTAATTAGTGACAGTACAAATATACAATTTTGTGGAATCTGCTTAATGAACATACATTTACAAACATAATGGTTATTACACAGAAAGTTCTCTACTATCCTCCTCACAATTATACATACGTATTTTTAAAAGCCTTCATTATTTATTAAATACTGTCTGAAACATTTTTTAATCATCTATCTAAAGTTCAGAAATACTTCACTAGAACACTTACCCTCTAATCTGACAACACTGGGACAGTAAAAATGAATAAGGGCAGCTAGTGCACAGCCATCTGTACCATCCTTCAGCAAGTTTTCTACCAGTGGAATGCAAGGCAGCTGCTTAAGCAATGTTTGCTCCTTCCTATAACGAGCCTACAATCAGAGCACACAAGAGTGAGACATAAGTACTAAGGAGCATAGAGGGAAAAAATCAGAACCGTGGATTTTAGTATGTCAGTTAACAAAATATATATCATGAGAAGTGAGAACTCACCAAAATCCTCTTCTAAATCATATTAGATTTTACCAAAGCATACAGAAACAGCATATTTAATATTAAATATATGCTAAATATTTAATATATTATTTATTTACATGAAATAACATTTAGCTTACATAAAAAGTATTACAAAACAGATCTGAATTCTCTCCTGTTCATTTACAGATTAAAATTTTAATTTACTTTAATATTAGATATAATTTAGACTGACAATTCTTACACAAAAAGACAAAGTTTTTATGTGGAAAGAGCAAAAGTACTGAGGGAACAGAAACAATTATAAGAATTATCAAAATTGGGGGCCAGGTAGAAGAATAGACTATTTTTAAAGGATATCTGGGGATACAGAAACATTAAAGGAACTGGAACCACAGGGCCAACATACTCTGGCCCATCATGTAAATGTTGAGAAAAAGCAAATAAAGTGTTAACAACTTTGAAACTGAAACAACAACAACAACAAAAAACTTCCCCAATCTGAGTTTCATTAATCAATCATTGTTGGTTATAAGGGTTCCTGTTCTCCCTTAGAAAAACAGAAGAAATCTTTGATTTCAAAAAATGCTTGGTGTAGCTGGGTACAGGTTTCTAAAACAGCACCCTAAAAAAGCAGCTAAGAGAATAAACTCTTGAGTCAGAGTGCCTGAACTGAGATCCCAGTTCTGATCTTATTTACTTTGTCTTCTTGGACATGTTACTTAACTCTCGCTCCCCCCCCGCCACCCCCCCATAGAGGGGACAGTAATAGCATCTGCTGTACTTCACAGACCCAGTGGAGGACTGGATACGATGGATGCCAAGTGCTATGCACACTGCCGAATATGTGAAAGCAACCAATGAAGGTTACCTGCTATTATCTAGTGGCTCCCTTAAAGCCAAGAAAAATAATGATGAAGATTTAGTAATAAAGCATACTGAAGTTTTGTATTAGCAAAATTTGTTATTATATGTTAGTGATATTTAAAGTCATTTTTTTTAAAAAAGGTAATCAAGACTAATTTTTCTTCTAAGTCCATCTAAACTGGTCATCTCTACATTTTATAGTTAAAATATAATCATGAGAGAGAATATTATTGTGAGAATAAAAACAGAAACATTTAAATTTACTGAAAAGAGCATTTGACATTTGGTGGTAAAGTTAGGTTTGTTTGAAATGACATTCTGCTTCTCTCACTGGCTACTCAAGGAGTAAGATTCATGGAACAGGTTTTCCTCTTGCACATTTTTGCAGGAGCCTGCTCTTATTAATCTGTTTTATGATGTATTGCTAACTCAGTACCTATATTCAGGAAATAATTTCACATACATTCTTGGATTACAAGATCTTTAAAAAATCTCCTCACTTTATTCCTCACAGTTTAAAAATCAACCATGGAGGGCCGGAGATTTAGCTCAGTGGTTCCAGCGCCTGCCTCACAAGCGCAAGGTCCTGAGTTCTATCCCCGGGACCGAAAAAAAAAAAAAAAATCAACCATGGAAAGAGGAGAGGAGAGGGAAAAGGAGATAGGAGAAAAGAGGAAAGAAAAAAAAAAAGAAATCAACCAGTATTATATTCTAGCCTTAAGCTACCTTTCTAACATTCAGTAAGCACTGTTCCAGATCTTTACTTGCTTTTCTTTGGTCATCTAACATCAAAACAGTTTATATCTTAGACATCATCTAAATTGGGCTGGACTCAGTAACAAACTTCCCAGATCTTAGGAATAGTTTGCTTTCAGCCTACAATCCAAATTCCACTGAACCACATACCCAGGGTCATGGAACAAAGAACCAAATTGTGTGCCAAGTGCACTTCTGGACAAAGTGTATGTGTGTGTGTGACACTGTTACACACATACACAACTTTATATGGTATTAGCAAAAACTGTCTATGGTTTAGACTAGACAACCAGAAAATTATGAGTGGTATGGCAGAACACCTTCCTTGAAGACTATATCTGAGGAAGATATACCAGGTAAATCAAACTTTGAATCTTGAGGTTATGCATAACCCTTGGATAGTTCATCTGCAGTTCATGAGAGTTATAGAGCCTTCTGTACTTGAATATACTATGTATTTTATAAACTCATTGCATAAGAACATTTCCTATTCCTTCTACAAACTTAAAAATTTGTTACTTAAAAGAAGCCCTATATTTTCTAGATGTCATTGTGTTGTATTTCTAAATTACATTTTTATTCCTGAAGGTGTACAATAGTTAAATGGTTTAACCCCCTATACTCAATCCTGGAAGATGAACCCTTCATGTCAAATCAGAATTTAATATAGTTTAGGTCCAGTATTTGCAAGGACATGAAGAACCTTTTGCTTTTCTCATTACACAAAAAGTGATGACTCCTTTACAATTCAGACTGAAAAGAGTATGATCCTGTCACAAAGATATTTTAAAAATACAGATAATTTACACATGCAATTGAAATTCACTTTTCCTAAAATTATTAAAATTAGTAGGACTACATCCTCTAGGTTGTTTTGCTATTATTTATTCTACCTATTTATCGATGCTCTGTAAATACCAACAAAATTAGCAAAATGATACTTACTCTTTAATTTTTCAAACTTTTAATGCTAGGTATACTACCTTTCCATATTACAATTTGATCAAATATCGTAAAACCCAATCTTTGTTCTGTGACCAACAGGATTACATGAAATGACTATACCAGCAAGACTTAAACAATAACATTCTACAATTACAGTTCTGGAAAGCAAACTGAAGTAGCTGGGCAAACTTACTGGAACCAGTTTCCAAAACCATTTGGAAGGAGACTTCAGAGGAAGCAGAAGAAAAAAAGAGGGAAAGTAAAGGTAAAGGGAAAATTCATCAGAATTATTTTAATTAACAAAGAATAGCAGAGCTTCTAATAGTGAAATTCCAAGTTTATAGTTCTCATAACATTTCTTCATATGTTAATTCTTTAATTAAAAAATAAAGGTTCCTGATAATAATGACCACCACCTTCTCCTGCCTTGCCCTCCATACAGAAATTTATGTTAGGATACATAGAATATGCTAAATGTTTTGGCTGCAAAGAATTTTATTTCGGAGTTTTGGAATCATATATCATACTGAAAAATGAACCTATTATTATAAAAGGTAAGTAAAAAGATTCTAGAGATAAATTTGCAATCAAAATTTTTAGATATTAGTAAACCAAGTCTGATAAGTGAATATTTTTCCCAAAGGGAAATGAAGATTCTTTAAAAAAATACAATTATAGAGCAAATAACAATATAATAGAATTTACTCAAAGTATAAATGTTAATTTTACTAAAAGTGTCCTGAAGAATATAACTGTTCTTCTTTGAAAAAATAAATATAATAAACCCATAATCCCAGATAATGAGAATAATTTGTGATTATTTATCTTCATACTTTCCCCAAAATTTTCTGGCATCCTGAATAAGTATTTTTGAATTGAGCCAAACTAGATGGAATCTGAGATAAAATTCATACTCAATTTTTACATAGGAAATTTTTCCTATATAAACAGTAAAAATACAAGTGTTTGGAAAAATAATATAAATTAGTTATTTTCAAGAACTTCAAGAATTAGAAAGATGTCATCTCAAGAATTAGAAAAATACTGGCTCCCCACAAATAGATAACATTTCTAATAAAAATATTTTTTTTGAGTTTGACAAAATTTATTGGTTATTTTAGTGAAGACATTCATCTCAGTCATTTCTCTCCTCATCCTGACCTTAGATTAGTATTTCATTTGGGTCAAGAAAAGAGTGTAGGAGAGGGATGTTATTTTAACAAACAGCAAAATGGACAAAAATGAAGTTTGCCTACATAAAAGCAAAGTTAAAGTTAAATTCATGTATCTTGGTATAATTCAATCATGTAAGAACTAATAGTTCCATATACATTTCCACTGTTTTGCTTGGGGCTTAATCTAAACTTTAATGTAAAAGAACAACTTATTAGGCATATGCGCAGGTTTCTTCTCTGGAGTTACTATTAAAAAAGATCAGCAAAGGCCAGGGATTTAGCTCAGTGGTTTCGCCGCCTGCTTTGCTGCGCATGCTCAAGGACCCAAGTTCTATCACCGGTACCAACAAACAAACAAACAAACAAACAAACAAAAAACCAACTTGGGCCAGGGATTTAGCTCAGTGGTTCTGGCGCCTGCCTCACAAGCGCAAGGACCCAAGTTCGATCCCCGGTACCAAAACAAAACAAAACAAAACAAAAAAAAGATCAGCAAGTAACTACCACCAATAAACTAGTGTGAAGGTGCCTCCAAATTTAACATTGTAGGCATTCTTAAGGAAATCACTGTATCATTTTTCTTTCGTGTGTGACTATGCTTTCAAAGATGTGTTTAACTGTCACTTAAAAAAAGTCCATATACAATACAAAAATACAAAACAAAACACCCTACAATACACAAATCTAACAGTATATGTGATGAACAATTCTATAAAATGTGTTTGAAGATGCCATTTTCTTTCATTTTCAGTACCTACAATATGCCCAGGCCACTGGGCAGTATGTATACACTTAAAATAAACCATATAATTAATTGTTCTAATAAGAAATCCTGTAGTGAGTTCAATTCAAACTGGATTTAAAACGCAGTAATGTAAAATGTATTCTCCTCCCTAGAGTAGTCTGTGATGGTATGTTTCTTTGTAATAATGACATCTGTACATGTAGTAAGACTGTGAAATTAACACTTGAAGATTTAACATAACAATGGAAAGTTGAACTCGTTTGAGAATGAAGATGTAAATGCTATGTATATTTCTTAAATTAAAAATGTGTATTATCTAGACATTTAAAAATGAATTATATAATTATTCATTTACTCATTCAGAAAATACTGTCAGCCCAGTTAACATGTACAATTGCATGGGACTAAGTGTTATAAAAAAATGGTATAAGAGAAATAGTGTTTAAATTCCATAGTTAATTTCTCTTAAAAGGTCACTCAATCTGGTTATCTGAAACACAAATAGTGTTTTTTCCCACAGAAATAACATTTACAGGATCTTATGTCAGTATATAAAAATCTTCATTAATTCACAATGTGCACATAATAATAGAGTTTAACCACTCCATATGACAAATAACATTTCTAAGGAAAATTTTCATTAATGTTATAACTTAGAATGAAAGCTACCTTAAACCATATTCCTAAGAGCAAGAAACAAAAACCTGAGAGGCAAGATTACATGTATCTCCAAGGCAAAGGTTTCAACTCCTACATTATGGGAAATAGGGAGAGAAACCAGGAGGAAAGGACTGGGGGATGTGAGAGGGAAGAGTCAGGGATAGAAGCTGGCTGAAAGGAAAATGAAATGTGTAATCTGGGGTAATGGAAAAAAACGAGAATTCCATTCTGCTCTACCTTAGTGGAAAAGACCTCAACAAAGATGAAGGATAAAGCACATCATATTTACAGGAGCTAGTCAGTAAGAGAGAGGGGAAATCAGTGTTCCCAAACATTAAATTAAAACAAACTTTTTAGGTGATCCTCCACAAAATTTTTCTATTGGGACTTGACAACAGGCAAAACAATTTCCTTTTTTTTCATTTACCTCCTTTTCTTATGAAGGTGTCAATGACTAAAAGGAGAAGCCGAAAATGAATAAAAGCATTGTGTAATACTGAAGAGATTTAAATAATTCAAATGGAAAATATGGTCTCTGAATAACCATAATTCTTATACTTCAATTGTAATACTATATGTGTTTAAAATGTACTCATTACAGTACACTTTAAAAGACATAAGAGACACTATTATTTTGAAAATATACTTTTGGTATAGTATGTGAAAAACAGAATTCAGCTTTCAAAGAAGAAAATTCTAAGAATGTATCTGCAAGTTTTAAAAGAATAAACCCATGTTACTATTTCTTTCCTTACAGAATAATCATATTATACAGCTTGAAACTCCAGGAATATTATTTTTTTAAAACTTTCATCCCATTCCCCACCTCATGCCCCTTCCCTCCCTATGTAAAAGAGCTTTATTCCAGGAATATTATTTTATTTAATTAATTTATTTTTTGGTACCAGGGATTGAACTCAGGTCCTTGTGCTTGTAAGGCAGGCGGCAGAACCACTGAGCTAAACCCCTGGCCCTGGGAATATTACTTTAAAAGTTGGTCTTACAGCAAGTAATTATAAAAACTGATGTGGGGCCGGGGATTTAGCTCAGTGGTTTCGCTGCCTGCCTAGCAAGCTCAAGGACCCGAGTTCGATCCCCGGTACCAAAAAAAAAAAAAGGAAGCTGATGTGTTGAAAATTGTTTTTGTTGTTTCATATATTTTGCCAAGATATATGTAACAAAAAACCATTATTTTTTGCCCAAAATACTTCAGAAACTGAGGTTTAGTGATCAATAATGTTTTTCACAAATACTATTGTCCAATTACTTGTCACTTAATACTTCTACTTAGTGTTCATGGCATGGCTTCCCTGGGTACAGTTAACAGCATTAAAAAAAAAAATCTTAAGTATAAATATTTCTCAAAATAATAAAATTGCAATATTTTTCCCCTTGAAATACTTACCTTTTGACCACTTGGAGCTTCAACTGTGTGATGTTCTTTCAATTTTTGTTCTTGTTCCATTATGTCTTTCAAATGTTCATTTACCTTAAAATATAAAAACATTAATTTGAACTTATATTCAAATATAACAATAAAATAACATGTAGCTTCAAAATCCCTGTAGTCAGATCTCTGATGTCAAATATGAATACCAGTCAAAGGAAATTTCATTTTCACAATCACACACAAAAAACCTTACAAACAAGTGGCTTTTTGACATTCTAAACTTAATTTATCAAATACTGTACGTCAGAAACTGGTCAGGGTGCTAAAGAACAAAAATAATATCAGTTTCAATGCTAAAAAAGCAAAATTTAAGTAAAAACTTTACAACTATTTAGAACTAGTAAATGAAAATTACTGTCACTAAAATTAAATGTTTTATTATCCACTGAAAACACTATGAATCAAATTCTGAAGCTGTGATTTCACAGACATGTCCACAGATCATAGGTGAGTTTTAATGTATCATAAATCCAGTTAAAACACATGCAAAATTTTTTCATGAGAACTTTCTGGGAAGCATGCCTAATTTAATACCTATCAGATGACCCAAGTAGCTCATAATCTAAAAAAGGTTAAGAAACAGCGTACTCAGTGAAAAAACTATTTTTTAGGCAGACTTCAGAGCTGGGTGTGGTGGTTTACACTTTTCATCTCAGCACTAGGGAGGCCAGGGCAAGAGGACCACAAGTTCTGGGCCAGCTTGGGCTGCACTGTGAATACCGAGTTCGAGGCTGGCCTGGACTACACAGTGAGACCCTGTCTCACAACAAACAAGAAAACAAAAGAAGGCTCTAGACGTCCCTTTGGATTTCCAGATAATGATTTTAAAAAGGGCAGCCTAGGAACAATAAATAAAACTTACAATTTGCTAATAATAGCACTGGAGAAAATATCAATACCACTAGCTAGCCCACATTTTTCTGACATGTGAGAATTTTCTTCTTCTTTACACTCAGCTCTTACACTAATTTTTACACTAATGGTATTTTATCAGGCATGTCTAAGTGTTCCTAACAGCCAAAATCACCAGTATCTATGTTGGTAAGACATGTTATGAGGCAGGTTTATGAATTTCATGCATTTTAAAGCATGTTGGACTATTTACTGCTTTTGTGCCAGACACTGTGTTAAGTGGTTAGGGATGTGATAGCATAAGTACAAAGCCAAAATGACTCTTGTCATCATAAAACAAGGGAGACGGGGATGGCAGGGGTGCTGGGAGGAGTACAAGTTAACAAAAATGTGAGTAGGTAAGAATGGGAGCAGGGAGGCCTATTTGAGAAATGATGGCTGTATCAGAAAAGGCCACTGCTGTGGTCTTGACTGTTTGGGCCCAAATTAATATAAAGGAACTAGGGCCGGGGATTTAGCTCAGTGGCACCTTGCCTGCCTCACAAGTGCAAGATCCTGAGTTCGATCCCCAGTACCAGGAAAAAAAAAAAGTAATATATTGGAACTACCCAATGTGGCAGTAGTAAGAGGTGAGGCCTTCTGAGAAGTGATTAGCTCATGAGGCTTCACCTTCATGAATGGTATGTCTTATTAAAAAAGGTTGAAGGAAGAGCCCTGGCCCGTCCTGCCATGTGAACATGGACACAACAAGCTTTGAAGAGAGTAAATACTCATCAATACTGTAATTTGTTGGCACCTTGATCTTGGACTTCCTACTTCCAGAATTGTCTGGAAAAATTATGAGTCAGTCACTCAGTCTATGATATTTTGTTATAGCAGCTGGAACAGACTTAGCCTCGTCTAGGAGTAAGTTTAAGCTGAGACCTAGAAGGAAAAGAAGCTAGCCATGATAAGAATAGAAAGAAGAGCATTCCAGACAAAGAAAAAAAAACCATAAAGGGCCTGTGGTGGGAAAAACACTTGGTGTGCCTGAGTGAGTGAAGAACATCACACACACACACACACACACACACACACACACACCCCTCAAAGACAAGACTATCAAGATAAGCCCACAAAGAGAGGTAGGACCACATAATGTAAGGTTCATATATTCATAATTCTTGTGTATCTTTGCATGATTTAATCCTTTAATATAATACCATCTTTTGTGATTCTTTTAAGTTTAAATTCATTTTAGCCACTATTGCTAATAACTTAACCACATTACTACCAGCTTTCTACGGCAAATTTCTTTTAAACTTATGAATGCATTATTCAAGAGGATAAAAAAGGCAACTAGGTTAGGATGAGCCATACAAGAGCCTGTTCATGGAGAGAAAATATATACTAAATTTGAGAGACAAGGGTAAAATTATAATGAGAATAAATAATGAAACTGGGGCCAGTAGAACGGAGCAAGGAAAAAAAATAGTAAGGTTCAAGTTTAATCAAGTATTTCTAAAATTACTCTAAAACCTGAATGGGTGGATATGGCTGTATAAAAATGACAGATATTCCTAATTAAATAATTTCCTAATCTTTGTGTAGATTTCCAAATTTTTAAAATGCCTTAGTTCTGTAGCTTATACTATAATTTATGCAGTCAATGTGTATTAAATATCATCTCTTTGCTGAACAGTGTGCCAATCTAGACCCTTGACGTGTATAAAGAAAAGGGTCATAGTGCCCATGCTTATTATATAGACTATTCAAGCAGGGAAGACAGATTTTTAAAAAATTAAGTGGTTCAGCACAGTAACTAGAAACTGTGAAAAGTGCTCTATAAGAAAGAGAGTGATAGAGTAGAAAATAAGAGTTGACAGGTGCCTACTTTAGATAGGGTGTGAGGAAAAAGTGCTATCCAAGCTGAGAAGTGATGGAGCAGAAGCACCAAGCCATGCAGAAAGCTGGGAGATGAGCTGCCCACGAACAGGAAACATCACGTTCAATGGTCCAGAGGCGAGAAAGGCCATACAGCTGGAATGAAGTGAGAGAAATGAGAAAGAAGAATAGTGGCTGTGAGCCTGAGGTGAGGAGGTACACAGGGGTCAGATTAGATGGTACTTTGTAGGTCATGGTGAATTTAACTTTTTATTTTAAGTGCAAAGTGAAGCCACTGAAGAGTTTTAAGCAAAGAAACAACATGATTCAAGCTACACTGTAAAAAAAACTCTTGAAGGTTCCAGTTCTGGTAATAATGGAATAGGCAGGTATTAGACAAAGCCTCCCAGAGATTACAATGATAAACTCTGGAAGAAAAAAATATAAAAAGCAGTCTGAGGGTAGCTCAGTAGTTTAGCATGTACTTATTACAGCATGCACAAGGCCCTGGGTTTGACCATCACCACCAAAAATACATATTTTATATATTCACACATATACATATATAAAAACCAAGTGTCTGGAGGTACTGGAAATCAATTAAAAGCATGCAGAAGCAGGAAAGGATTCAACCACAGAAAGAAAGGAACACATCGCAGGGGATGTAGCTCAGAGGCACTTGCCTGCCTGGCAAGCACAAGGCCCTGAGTATGATTCCCTGTACTACACACACACACACACACACACACACACACACACACACGCACACAAAAGGAACACACTGAATGAAATACTTATTCATTTGGCCTTCCCCACAATTCATACAGTGCAGAGTGGCCAGAACTCAAGCAGAAAACTATAGTAGTCTTGCTGGCTTGTGGAATCAAAGGAGAAATCTCAACACTGTTAGAGAAGCTGGATATTGAAGAACATCTTGCGAAGACAGAATCACAAACAGAGGTGACCCAAATCTGCATATAAACTAACCTCAAATTTTGGTTGAGCCCTGAACTATGGACTTATGGACTCTCCAAGGAGCTAAAGGAGAAAACAACTGCTGGGAGGCTGAAGAATTTGCCACTGCAGGAGAGACAGTTTGGTGTTCAATTTCACCAAGTGAGGAAGACTTGTAAACATTTCAGGTTTTTCACTGAAAGTTCAGACGGGCTGCTTGTGCTTCAGAACGGCTGAGTAGCATACCATAGGAAGACCTGCACACCCATGTTTACCGCAGCACAATATACAATAGCCAAGTATGGAACCAGCCTAGGTGCCACCAACAGATAAACAGATAAAGAAAATATGGTATGTACACACAATGGAATATTATTCAGCCATAAAGAAGAAACTATGTAATTTTCAGGAAAATGGATAGAACTAAAGATCATCATGTAAAGTAGAACAAGCCAGACTCAGAAAGACAAACATCACATTTCCCCTAATATGTAGAACAAAAACAACAAAAACACAGAGATAATACGAAAGAAGTGAGACTATTATTAGACGAGGAAAGGAATAAGGAGGAAGAGGAAGGGAGTGTAAGGAAGGTAATAGGGGAATGGATACAGTCAAAATATCTTACATGCATTCATAAAGAAGAAAAAAGAAATAAAAATTAAAATGGAGAGTAAAAAACAAAATAACAAAATGTTAACAATTGGGGACTCTAGATGAAGTGTACATGGGTGTCTGTTGACCTATTACTTAAACTGCCTATAGATTTGACATATTTGAAAATCAAGTTGGAGAGAAAACAGTTTAGCCCCTTAGAAGAGAAATAAACACACAAAGGGGAAAGAAAGAAGTATAGTAGTAGTACTAGTAAAGACTGAATTCAAGTTAAAGTTAGAAAGGTATCTATTGGATTTGTCAGTATGGAAGCCTTCATTGACCAACTCAGGAACAATGTCAGGTAGGAACAGGGAAGGGAGAGAAAGCAGAGAAGGCCAATGAATGACTACATCACTCTTTATAGACATGTATCTGGACAGGAAAGTTCTGTTGACAGAATGGGAAATATTAGAGCAAGGTTATAGTCTTATAAGAATGATCCAATGGGAAGCAAGAATGAGATGAAGTGGGAGAACAAAGGAATACAGGGTGATCCACAGATAAGCAACATCTGCATCACCTGGAGTTTGTGAGAAATGTACATACTCCAGTTCCACCCCAGACAAACTGAGTCAGAATCTGAATTTTAACAAGTTGTCAGGTGATTCTTATGAACATTAAACTTCACCTTAAACTTCAAAAAGAACAGAAGCAGAGAAACAATGACCACAAAAAAGGAAGAAAGAGAAGAAAGAGGAGCTCTAAAGCAACAAATAGTAGGGAACTTGCCTTTGACAGGAAGGGGGAAATTTTCTCCATTCTAATGGCAGAAAAAAAAAAAGAGACACAATGAGTGATGATGCATGAAAGTTTACATATATGATAATTCTCACCTAATGGCCTTCCATCTCTGGTCTCAAAAAACAGATGAGGAAAACAAAGTAAGCTCACGGTAACAGAAAGTCTGAGGATTATACATGAAACAAAACAGTCATCTTGAAGTATCAGAGCCAACTTCTCAGGGTCAAACTTTAGACTGCCAGTTGAGTGGCTGGTGTTCATTTGAAGTTTGTGCTTATGAATTTAAAGTGAAGCCAGCTTCCTTGTGTAAATTCTTCCAGTTGAAGATAAGAGATAAGATGAACAATTAAGCTCAACCATCTAGGCCATTACCAGATGATTAACAAGAAGGGACAAAGAGACAGAAAAACTGAGAGGATTTATGAAAATCTAAATTCAAAAAAGAGAAATGTGAAGTTTATTGAGATTATAAGAAATTAACAGGCTCAATGATTTGGAAGTTATGACGAAGTTGAACATTTTTGTTGTTTTTTGTTGCTGATTAACCCAGGGCCTCATGCATGCCAACCACATACTCTATCAAAAGATGAACATTTTTAATAGTGGAGAACTAAAAGCAAATGAGCTGCAAGGATAGGACAAACTGTTCAAAAATGGGAAGTTTGCAATGAGATGTGAAGCTCACATAGATTCTGATGATAAACAGGTCTACAATGTAAGCATGATTCTCTACAGCTGAGGAGGAATGGAGAAAAATATCACTAAATGTGATGAAATAAAGGAACTCCAGGGCAGAGTATTTAATGATCCTTCTACATTAGTACTGATATGAATAATGATAATAATAGATGAGTGTTTTTTTTACATTTAGCTTCTTATGACAAGCTTCATGTAAAGATTTAAGGAAGGATAACTGAAGATCTAACCTCCTTTAAATCTTGCCCACAAATCAAGTTTATTTTCTTTAGATAACAGTTACAGATAAAAGTGGATGAAGGCGAATTAAATACTCAAACTGACAAAGGAGTGTGTATAAACTGACAACTTAAGCATCTTCAAAGCAAAAACCACAGTTTCATAAAAACTTTGGAAAAAAAAAATCAATGATTTTCTGCAACTTAGTCAAGTAAAGTGCAGACTCCCTTAACTGGAATGTGAAAATTATTTTACTCTTGGATTAAAAAATATTTATTGAACAGTCGCTGTGTACAGTTCGATTCTGAATGCTCTAAATTTGGAAAAATGTGATATAAACTAGTTAGATCATTTTTAAGCACAATTATAAATACTGCTGAGTATATAAAAATCTATTTTAATCATTTTAAAGCTGTTCTTAAGTTTAAAAATTTAAGTGAATTGCACAACTTCAGCTTTCACTTTGATTTAAAACAAAGAGTAATGGAATGGTAATATATAATTTAGGAGTTCTGTTTTTCTGGTTATTAGGCTTATTTTTACTCAAGTAAGTAAATATAATCTTACCTTATTTATCCAGTACATGATAGCATCCTCAATATCATAGGGGAGATCTGTGGCTTGAAAAAAAGCTGAATACTGTTGAGCACACGCAATTACTTTTTCTACACTGACCATTTCTACAGTATAAGCCATCATTAGGGTATCTATCATGGCCAAATGTGCACTCTGGAAATACAAAAGAATAAACAGTTTAAAAATTACACTTAGAAATTGCTATTTATATATTGTAATGTATTAACATTTCCTAACAGCAGTAAAATAATGCCTATGGAAGACTAGCCTTAATAAGAAAACATAAATCCTACATGGCAAAGACAGCTAACTGGATGAAACCAATTCTTTCTTTAAACACTTACCGAGGATCTATGTTAAGGTACTCATTATTCTCTAAGATGCTTCTTTTCCTTTTTATAATGTCACAATCATTTATTTTTACATCATTATAATACAACTTAAAAACTTCAGAATCACCTCTGATAGGTTTTCCTTATTTTTCACATTCACACAATAAAAATTTATAAATTCTACTACTAAAATATATCTCAAATCTACTCTCTTCTTCATTCTGATTGCTACAGTTCCAATTCAGACATTTCTCACAACAAAACAAGGCAAAAATTATTTCACTGATTTTCCTTTCTCCAACTTCTTCCTCATCTAATTCATCCATCACAGGATTTCTAGTCTTCCTTTGTGCATTTAAAAATATATATACAAAACTGCTATACAATGATTCATAAAATTCCAAGCATTTCAAATGTATATAAAGTGGAAGTGCTCCTCTCTCCCAGTTCTACTTCCCCAGCAATATCTTCAGTTTGGTATATTTTCTTACCAAAAGATTTAATGCACATCAAATAGGTATAACATTTACATTGTTCCCTATCTTTCACATTACAAACAATGCTACAACACTGTTCCACCAAGCATAATTCTTAGTTGTGAGGTCCAAGGGAAAACATTTCTAAATTAGGGTTACCACTAATCTTCTCTCTAGAAAGGATACCATTTCCTTCCCCAATCTGTATTCTTTCAAAGCAGCCACACCAGACTGCTGTTCTTCAAATCCACCTCCAGTTTTCAAGCTTCTGTCCCCTTAACCTGTTGCTACGGTACAGATGAAGTCCTGTCACTGGTTTCAATGTTGCTCTCATTGTGAAGCATTTCCTCTTCCCTTTCCATTCAAAATGACTTATTCTTCTTTAAGAATCAGATGTTTATAGAATATTGTTTATGCTTGCATTTAATTTAATGTGAGCATTATGCTTACATTAAAGACAATGGTGACTTCTACTTATGAAGTAACTTAGGTACCAAATTATCTGAAGTAGGGCATGGGCACTGTTATGTTTAAACAGCTCCCCTCTGCAGACAAGACTTGAGGGCAAGGGCATTATCTTAGTTATCTTCCTATTCTCTCCATCTAACTGAGTACCTGGCAACTAGCAGGAGCTGGAGAAAGGAGAAGCAAGGTGCTTGTCGGCTACTATAAACTAAAGAGCAGGCCTTACTCTGGAGGCTAAGGGAGTGGATTCTGACTATATTAGAACGATGTAGGTACAACTTCTAGAACATTTAGCAGTACAGTATTTGTCATTAATTGGTTTTGGGAGGTGCAAAGAGTACCACCAATGTCAAGTAGCAAACCGTTTTGGCTGGAAAGGGTAGTGAGTCACGAGGCAACTGACACCAACAAGTTCTAACTTGCATGCCGAGTACCAAATAAATGATGAGTACTGGTATAAAATTTTCCAGTCAAAATGTGTGGAGGACCAAATTTGATGAGTTTGAAAGCAGTCGAATACCAATGCATGCCTGTATTCATAGGAAGGCAGATGCTTTGTCTGAAGTGGAAATCTTCATACTGGCAATCATAAAACCAATGGTGACTCCTACTTATGAAGTAACTTAAGTGCCAGTTGTTGTGTTTAAGTACATTTCCTATTACTATATTCTCTCTTCCATCTCAAATCTTTTTTGGCTGGAGAAGATAGTAGAACACACTTTCCATAACCCTCAGAATTCTCTGAAGGATGCATCGTCTGCATTTTAGCTAGCTGTAGTGGAGCACACTACACTCACAGCCGCAGCTGTTTGGGAGGCTGAGGATCACTTAAGCCTAGGAGTTTGAGGCCAGCATGGGCCAACACAGTGAGAGCCAGCCTCTTAAAAAAGAAAAAGAAAAAGAAAGAAGGAAAACACATACACATTTTCATGCATGAAGCAACTGAAGTTTGGACAATTAAGTAGTTTGTCCAAATTTATGTGCTCTTTCTACTGTATCATACAATCAGAAGGAGTTAAAGTCATTTAGGTACAAAGGAAAATGTTTTATAATGATACGTAGACATAATATGTGAGACAGAAAAATAAGCATCAATAATTATTTCAAATTAAAATCATATTTTCATACTCTACCTTCTCCATGGAGTCTTTAGACTGCTACTGTCCTATCTCCTACTCCTTCCTCCAGACTCAGAGAGGCACATCCTCTCCCTCCAGTCATTTATCTCTGTGTGCCTCTCTATTATACTCTACCCCTAGACAGCAGAGTCTGTCTTTTTCACATTGTTCCCTGAAAAGGTTTTATGGATGAAATTTCTTAGTAAATTAGCATTTAATTGCATTAAAAAGCACAATTCTTTTGGACAAAAATGTGGGATAACATTTCAAGTGTCATGAAACAACTCATACTCTTTAAGATTCCTCTTGGTGACTGGTACAGATATACGAAAGAGGGGAAAAGAGCTGTTGAATAAAAATGATCATGACCACATTTTATTACAAAAAGGAAACAAAATAAATATTCAACCATAATGAGTAATTTATGTTTAGCTGTAACAGGTGAAATGTATACAATAAAGAAGGAAAACATATTATAATAATGTTCTATATGTACATATATATGAGAATGAATACAACATAGAAACTACCTTGTTATAGTATGCAAAAATACACACAAAAAAATAATGTACTTCAAAAACTGGAATAGGATAGTAAACACTAAGTAAAATTAGAACAAAGCTTATTTTACTAAATTCCAAAATTAAAAAAAATACTCTGTTGCGTTTGAGAACCTTCACATTTTATTATGTTTTTAGTGCTTTAACTTTAGAATATGAGAGAGTGGTAAACAAAAATGTATGTATAGCAGTAAATACAGCCTGTGGCCAGCGGGTGACCTGGGGCCGGGGATGGCTGCAGCCTCTGTCCTGCAGGCCTTGGAGCCCTCACTGTGGGTGCGAACTGGCTGAGTCCAGGCTTCTGAGCACCAGTGAATTGCAGTGTTTTCCCACAGCCAGGACACCTAAGGCTGCTAAACCTGCCGACTAGGCAAAGTTCCTGCCATTCCACCGAGGACATGGCGACAGCATGGCATGGCCAGAAGAATCCGCAGAGGCTCATTACTTAGAGACCCTAGAAAGCTGGGTGTGCGGATGAAAGCTCAGCCATGTGAGGCCACAGAGCTGTGTAGATCTGGGTCCTGGGTGACTGCTGTCTCACTTGGAGACCTCATTTCCTTCTGACCAGGAAGGACAAAGGCCTTACCCATCCTGCAGGGCGAGTAGAGCCTAGGATGACCACAGGTATAATGGTTAGCAGGCCTGCCTGGTTGGTCTTTGTTTTCCCAAGAGAGAAATAGTATTTGCTTAACTGATAATGCCCACTGCCCTTTGGGAAGATTTACTGGTCACCTGCAGAAGTCCTGTGTACAGAATATGAAATGCTGGCTTCAACAACCCTCCCCCACAACGTTTTGCTGCATCTGGACATTCTAGATGGAAAGAGGTTGCCAACATATGAAAGAGTTGGAAAATCACACATCTTGTAAACACTTGTTTTTTTTAAAAATCACAAAAAAGAAATATCTTCTGGAAGTGATTTTTTGCAATTGAGTTTATTAGACCAATTCTAGAAATGACCCCAGGAGTAATACTTGTCAGTATGTTTGTTCAGTGGGTTAGAGGACATGGAGCAGAAGATGCAAGAGAAGGTCCAGTACCAGATGGGTTACATACAGAAGACTTTATTCAGATTATAATCTTTGTTTTATGTGTGTGCATTTTATTTCTCATTACTATGTATAAAGTTGACAATGCCAAGTACTTCTTTGAAATAGCTAATCGTTCTAGGTGCTCTCAAGTACCTGATACATGTTAAGTAGAAGTAGTAAAATAATGCATTTAGTAATTTTTTTTTGTTAAAGTATACACGAAGTGTTATTTGTGGGCTAGAATAGCAAATCCCCCTCCTTGAGTAGTACACATTATGTCTATGAGCTGGTTCTAGGAAGAGAAGGAAATGCAAAGAGTGCTTATCGTTAGGCAAGAATAACCATTGTCCTTCATGTCTGTGCATTTTGTTTTACTTTTTTGCAATATATGCAGTGTATGTAAAAGACAAATGAATTGTAATTTATAACAGTAACTCTTCCTAGTTGTTAAACAGGTAACAGTGTATGACAAAATTTTGTTCATTTTGTATAAAAATTCCTAGGAAAGATTGTCTTCTGAATATTTGAGCATTTTAGCTCACTGAATTGGTAGACAGGTTAAGATTTCTAGGCCAGTGTGCTCATATTTTGAAGACATTTTCAAATTCTAACTATTATTACATGTGTGTAGTTTACTCAAGACTGTTAGTATGGGCCGGGGATTTAGCTCAGTGGTTCCACCGCCTGCCTCGCGAGCGCAAGGTCCTGAGTTCGATCCCTGGTACCAAAAAAAAAAAAAAAAAAAAAAAGATTCAGTTTGTCCATTATATATATATATAACAGTCTTTTTTTTTTGGTACCGGGGATCAAACTTGGGTCCTTGTGCTCGCCCGGCAGGCGGCAAAACCACTGAGCTAAATCCCCGGCCCCTCTGCCCCCTGAATCTTATTTAGATTTTTAGAAGTACCTACCCTATGTTAAATGTGGAGATAGTAAAATATCACTTTGTAAATATTTTTTTGCTAAAATTCATACAAAACATCGTCTTTTGGGAATGGAATTTTAAAACCACCTCTGTGAGCAATATGGTAGGTCTGTACTTGTCTAGTGGTTTGGAAGGAAAGAGAGGGAAGCAACTGCAAAAAGTAGTATGGTACTGCATTTTTACGTGGACATTTTCAGACACTTTTTCTGTAGGTTTGGTAGGTTTTTTGTTTTGTTTCTGTGTATA